GGGCATCCTCGCATTCGGCAAATCGTTTAACATGCTCCAAGGCGCTCCGCCTTCGAACATCCAGCAGATGAAGGATCTTGGTCGAATTGCGAGCGTGTTGCAGTGCGCGAGCTGGATTGCGCAATTGGTGCGGAGTTCCCCGGGGCTGCGAGCCAAGAACCAGCTTTGGCTGAACTGGTGTAGCGAACAGTTGGAGAAAAGAAAAAAGGTACGTAAGAGAGAGCCTTCTGGGTCACGGGAGCCGAATGAAAGGACCTTGCTCATCGGCGCAGATGGAGCTGAACCACATGGACCTCTTCAGCTATCTGATCGACGGAGCTTTGGCCAACTATGAAGGCCAAATGAAGAGCGAAATAGATCAAGACTTGGTCTATGACTCGGAGCTTGTAATTACTGCTGGCAGCGATACCACGGCTGCGACGGTCAGTGCGCTTCTGTATCTGTTGGCGCAGCATCCAGACAAGCTCCAGAAGCTGCAGCAGGAGGTGGACTCTTGTTTCTCTGCCGGCGAGGCAATCACTCATGCCGCGCTAGCAGGCAAGCCATGGCTGGAAAGCTGCATCAACGAGGGTCTTCGCATGTATCCCAGCGTGGCGAGCGGTGTCCCCCGCGAGACTGGCCCTGAAGGGCTCACGGTTGCCGGAGTCTACATCCCTCCAAGGACAATAGTCTCTACACCTACTTACGCCATTCACCGAGGTTCGAGCCTCCTCTGATCCAAGATAGACCGTGCAAGCACAAGCTGACGAGTCCACAGATCCACGAAACTCTGTCGACCCGGATAGCTTCGTCCCCGAGCGGTGGTCGAGCAAGCCGGAGATGGTCCTCTGCAAGGAAGCATTCAAGTCCTTCTCATCCGGAAAATATGCCTGCGCGGGGAAGCAATTTGCGATGATGGAGATGCGACTTGTCGTGGCCACCATTGTGAAGAATTTCGACCTCGAGTTTCCCCCCGGAGAGGGACAAGAGCCACTAGAGAAAGTCGGCCACGGGGTGTTGGATTGTTTCACGGCGCATATTCCGGACTATCATCTGATCTTCCGTCCCAGGTAGACAAATTCAAAGTCCTAGTAGTGATATTTAGTAGCAGGTTAGCAGCTTTTTGTGAGCAAGCATTCCAGTTAGTAGATTGAATCACATCGCAACTCCTTCAGCAGCATCTCGCGCTGCGACCGTCCGGATGCGGCCAAAGAGAAACACGGTTGGGGCTAGCCTCCAACCAGGGAAACCACAAGCAGCACGAATTCAGGGAGAATAAAAAGACGGCGAGGCCCCTTAGATCGGACTTGAATGCCCCCTCCACGTCATCTATCATTAGGGAGTTTCTTGTGTACTGTTGTCACCATGACCACCGATGAAGCAACACACGAGGGTGGGCGAGGCAGCATCAGCATGTATGATCCGGCACGGGATCGCTGGGAGGAGAAGGCGGAAGTTGTTCCGCCGGCCTCGTCTTCTCCATCTCCCCCAAACCGTCCCCGTTCAACCATCACTTCTTCTCAACAACAACAAAAAAGACACTCACCCTCTTCTGCTGTACGTGTTTTGAACCCCAGTATCCCATGCTCCAGAAACAACACTACTGCAGGAACCTCTTCCCGGTGGAGTCTGCAGTTAGCGAGTGGTGGCGTCGGAGGCGGTGATTCCCCGACTTGGGCGGCTGGCTTTGTTTGTTTGCTTGCTGCACTTGCGGTGAAATTTCTGTTCTTCACCACTTCGTTGGGACTGAAGATAATTCAACTTAACCTAATTCTTTACCGTTACTCACTGCCACTCAACAGATCACAGATGAGCCACAATTGAAGTCTCCGATCTCACTGATTCCGGCCCCTCTTTCTCCAACTCTCCCTTCCAGACTCCCCGACAAACCCGCTCCTCGCAGCCTCACCTCGACTTCAACCCGACAAAAGCCCCCACCCAAACCACCAGGTCCATCCACCAAAATGGGCGACTATTCGTACTCCGAGCCCGTTCGCTCTCCCTCACCCACCGGCCACCACGGACGGGAAAGCCATGACCCCTACAAGCGCAAATACCCTGAGGAGGAGCCCGCCTCGACAACGGCAACGACAGATCAACAATATCGACCCACCTCCAAACGCAAGCGCGTGGAGGAACGCCACCAGAAACTCCGCAAGCGCGGCCGCACCCCTCCATCCGCCTACTCGCGTCGCGACCGGGACGACGAGCCCGCCGGCGGCCCCAACCGCAACCGCAACGCCCACGATCGATCCCCCTCGCCTCCCCTGCCGCCGCGGTCGCCGACCCCCGAAGCCCAGTCGCGCCCGCGCAAGCGGCCCGGCGGTGGCGCGCGGATGGGCCTGGTGGACCGGGAAACCCTCCGGCGGCGACAGGAGGAGCGCGAGCGCACGGAGCAGGAGGAGGCGATGCGCAACTCGCAGATCCGGGGCGTGACGGACCTCGTGCGGCAGCATTACAACGCCGTGCCGCAGCGGGGCCGCGAGTGGCGCAAGACGGAGAGTAAGATCAAGGGCCTGCGCAGCTTCAACAACTGGGTCAAGAGCACGCTCATCCAGAAGTTCTCGCCGGATGAGGAGTTTGTGTCCCGCGCGATCGGGACCATGGACTGGGCCGACGGCACGGGCCCGCCGCCCGTCGAGCAGAAGAAGCTCCTGGTGATCGATTTGGGTTGCGGGAAAGGTGGTGATCTGGGCAAGTGGCAGCTGGCGCCGCAGCCGGTGGATCTGTACGTGGGCCTGGATCCGGCTGAGGTCTCCATCGTGCAGGCGCGTGAGCGATACAGCCAGATGCGGTCGGGACGCGGAGGTCCGCGCGGTGGTCGCGGGGGTGGTGGCGGCGGTGGCGGCCGGGGCCCGAGTTTCCATGCGGAGTTCGCGCCGAAGGATTGCTTTGGCGAGTGGCTGGGGGATATCGACATTGTGCAGCGGGTTGGGATTGATCCCAACGCGGGACCCGGAGGTTCGTTGATGAGCTCGCGCTGGGGCGGAGGTGGCTTCGACGTGGTCGCTTCGATGTTCGCGATCCACTATGCGTTTGAGAGCGAGGAGAAGGCCCGGCAGATGCTGCGCAATGTGGCCGGCTGTTTGAAGAAGGGCGGCCGGTTCTTGGGTGTCTGCCCGAACTCAGATGTCATCAGTGCCAAGGTGGCCGAGTGCCATGCTAAGCGCAAGGCGCGCGAGGAGGCGGCGGCGGCGTCGAAGAACGAAGAAGCCGAGCCCGAAGACGGAGAAGTGGAGGAGGACACCACCAAGGTCGAATGGGGCAACTCTATCTACCGCGTGCGATTTCCCGGGGATACGCCCGAAGATGGCATCTTCCGGCCGCCGTTCGGCTGGAGATACAACTACTTCATGCAGGAGGCTGTGGAGGAGGTGCCGGAATACGTGGTGCCCTGGGAAGCATTCCGAGCGTACGTGTTTTACTTGTTCTTTGTTCTGGTCAATCGGTACGAACATGGCTAACGATGTGAGATAGCTTGACGGAGGAGTACAATTTGGAGTTGCAATATCGCAAGCCGTTCCTGGAAGTGTGGCGCGATGAGAAGGATGATGCCGAGTTGGGGCCTCTGAGTGAGCGCATGGGTGTGCGTGATCGCAATACTGGGCAACTGAGCATGACGGCGGAGGAGCAGGAGGCAGTCAGTAAGTACCACTTCTCTTGGCGAATTGATTGTATCAGCCACGCTAACGGGATGCCATAGGTTTCTACCACGCCTTCTGTTTCTACAAGGTCTAGTTGGATGAAGGGTCTGACTCTAGCTTGGTACTTCGCTATCACTATCACTATCTATATTGCTGGCAATACAACTAGCTACAGTTCACTCAATTAATGCATATAGCTTCTATCATACTTCAAGCAATGTAGCCAGAGGTAGATCAGAAGTCTTAAACTAAAATTTCTAAATCATCCTCACTTCTACCAAGTACAGCGGATACTGAGAGATGCCACGGCCAAAACTCGGCTCTGGTAAACTGTTCTTTTCTCCCTGACCGCCCCCCAACGGCAGAAAAGTGGTAAAACCAGCCGGCAAAAGCTCGGCGAAGAAACTGGTTAAACTCCCACCGCTTTGGGGGCACATGACCGGCAGAAAGCCAGCGACCTCGCGAGTGGAATCCAGGCATCCATATATGAACAGGTCCAGAAAATCAGGCTCCAAAACTGTTCTTTTTTGCCTGGCCGCCCCCAACTGGCAGAAAAGTGGTTAAACCAGCCGGCCAAAACTCGGCGAGGAAACCGGTTAAGCCCCCACCGCTTTGAAGGCACATGACCGGCAGAACGCCCGCGACCTCGCAAGAGAAATTCAGGCACCCACATATGCACAGGACCAGAAAATCAGGCATCGAAACTGTTCAATTCTGGCGGTGGCAGAAAATCAGGTCCCTAACCCACATAAGTTACCTGACCACCGCGGGCCCCACCGATAATCCACCCCGATGAATTGATAAGCGCCGATAAGGTGCTCCGGACAGCAGTGGAAATCAGCTATAACCCGAACCATACTAGCGTGACCGCGTCGCGTCTTGCTTTCTTTGCTCTCGGGGTCGCTTTCATCTTGCAAGCGACAGCGCAGCAGCAGTCTATGTGATAGGGTCAGGTAAGTAAGGCAGGGTCGGTAAGTTTAACTAACGTGACAGGTTTCTTTTTGATGGGGGTTTATAGTTTCTTTGACTTGATCGAGTCCACCAAGTGAACAAAGAGCGCCCTCCCTCACGCACTCCCCCCACCTCCACCACACCAGACCAGGCCAAGACCGAAACCACACAGCACGGCACGTACAGAGCCCCTCCTCTCTGATCAACAAACTATCTTTTTGGCAAAACAAGTCGGATCTCTTGGGACTTACTCCGGCTAACTACACTCCCCACTTACTCTTCGTAATAGAGCCTGACATCAAACACATTCTCTACACCAGAGGGCGATATCAGAATCAACATCAATAGCCACCACAACAACAACAGCAGCAGCAGCCTCTACAGCCCCAACTCAACTCACTTGCTGCAAGTGCAAGTCCTCCCAATATGCCCCTCCGTCGCCGAAACGAACCCGCACCCACCTCCTCATCTTCCACATCAACAACAGCCTCCTCTACAATTCCCCAACCACCACCGTACCAACCCCCGACGATCTCCAACCCTAAAGCCGACCAACTGACCCTCCACGCGACCTCACACGCCGTCCTCCTCAGCCTCCTGACCAGCCAACCCCTCCGGAACCTGAAGACGCATCTCCAGCATGCGCAGGAAAAATTGACCGAGGCGGCCGGGGATATCAACGAACGGTTGACGGATGCAGAGGAGCGGATGCGGCGGAAGAAGGAGCGAAATGCTGAGGAAGGAGGGGAGGATGATAATGATGAGGAGGAGGTGGCCGCGCTTAAAGAAAAGGTGAAAGCTACAACCGCCAAGTTGGATCAAAAGATGCGGGGTGCGATTGATGCGGAGGTTAAACTGGAGGGGCTGAGTGAGATGCTACGGGGCTTGGATGGCAATGTTAATGTGGTGGATGGCGCGGTGGCTACTAGGAGTCGATCGACAAGGAGTAGTCGGCGGAGTAGGAGGGATGGGGATGGGGATGAGGAGATGGAGGATGCTGATGCTCGTGGCGATGACGAGGAGGAGGGGGAGGGAGGTGATGACGATGAAGAGAATGCCGGACCGACGTTGGTAGGCAAGATAGAGGAGAGTGTCACCGCGACGAAGAACAAGTGGAGTGGGTTGTCGCTTACCCAGAAGTATGTCAATGCTGCTTCCCTTTCCATTGAGACAGGATGAGAGACTAAAAAGGCCATAGATACTCCACCAACAACGCTTACATCGGATTCTATCGCATCATCCACGAAGCCAAACACCCGGGTGATGATATCCCCCCACTCCCGCATGCCTCGACCTGGTTCGCCCACCTCGAAGAAGGGGCCGACAAGAAACCCACAACTTCGGCTACCAGCAGCAGAGGCGCGGCGACAAGCGCAGTATCGGGAGTGTCAGCTACCACGGGCGCATCCTCCTCTCGCCACGCCAAAAATCCTTCCGCTGAAGAAGGCGATGACGAAGACCCTTCCGACGAAGACATCGCTATTTCCCGTGAACGCATTTCCCTCAAGTGCCCCCTTACTCTCCTCCCCTTCCAGGATCCGGTCACCAGCACTAAATGCCCGCACAGCTTTGAGCGCGAGGCCATTACCGCAATGATTGTGCAGAGCCGCACCACCGCCCCGGACCCGAGACACGCTTCATCCAGTGGGCACGCGGGCCGACGTGCGCGTCGCGTACACTGTGTCAAGTGTCCGGTGTGTGAGGTGGTTTTGACCGAGTTTGATCTGCGAAGTGATCCCGTTCTTCTGCGCAGGTTGAAGAGAGCTGAGGCTGCTCAAAGGCGGGAGCAGGAAGAACTGGAGGAGGAAGAGTATGATCAAGGAGGTGTGGGTGGGCGGAGGAAGAGAAGTAGGAAAAGTGGGATCACGGTGGCTAGTGATGATGAGGATGACGACACAGCTACCTCACGAAGAGTGGCGTCTCAGCAAGACCAGATCAGAATCAAACAGGAACGCGGTGTCTCCGTCGCCGCTGTTGTGGACCTGGAGGCGGATGAAAATGTGGAAAATGAAGAAGAGGAAGACGAAGAATTTGAGGACGGAGGACATTGGCAGGCAGGAGATGATGATGGTGATGATGATGATGGGGAGGAGGACGAGGATGAGGACCAGGAGGTAAGGGCAGGAGAGAACGACGAAAACGACGAAAATCAAGAAGCGATTCAAGTGGCTGATGACATATCAAAAGGCGAGGTAAATGAAGATCAGGAGCTGGAAGAGCAAAGCCAAGAGGGGGAAGCTGATGAGGGAAATCAGGAGGTAAGAGACGAAGAAGGCCACGAAGGAGCAGAGTTTGAAGAGACAATGCAGGTGGCTGATGACACGTTTCAAGATGAGGTAGTTGGAGTTCAGGAGCAGGAAAGCAAAGAGGATGAGATGGAGGTTGAGGAAGAGGTACAGGAGGTAAGAGAGGGAGATGAAGAAGTCGAAGAATCGGTGCAGAATGCTGATAACACAATTCAGCATGAGACAAATGAGACACAAGGGCATGAGGGGGAAATGGATGGAGAAGACGAGGAGGAGCCAGGGCAAGAGGAACAGGAATCACAGGAAACACATGGAGAAGAAAGGCAGGAAGATGCGGAAAATGTGGATCAGGCAATGCAATATCTCGAAGCTGAATCAGCTGAACAACAAGAATATCAGGATGTCCATCAAGAAGAGAAGAAAATAGAAATCCATGATATTGACACTGCGGTTAAACAAGATGACCAGGGAGCATCAGGGGAGTGCAAGAAACAGCACACCGATGTTGAAGAAATCGAAAAAGAGGACGTGTGTGTTCATGCTCAACCACTTGAACAAGAAAACGAGGAAGATGTCCTCAAAGAAGAAGGCGAACCGCTTCAACATGTCAACACCAGAGCTGTCGAACAAGAAATTCTGCAAGAAGAAGTGATACAGGAGGAGAGTGAGGACGATGCTGTCGAACGATCGGAGAACGAAGACCAAGTACATGATGGGGAAGAAGAAAAAGAGAGTCAGCTCGCGAACGCTGAAACAGATGACCAGAATGACCACGGAACGGTAGAAGATGGGGATGAAAGGCAGTGTGTTGACACTGGTTCAGTTAGGCCGAAGAACGCGGGCGTCGAAGAGGAGAAAGAGAGTCAAGAAGCTGCGGATGAGCCAACTAGACAAGAACAGAATGAGGAGGAGGACGGTAGCAGGAGCGAGTCGAAACAAGGCGTTGGCGATGCTTTGGTCAAGCCAGATGTCCAGGCAGATGCAGAGCAGGAAGATGAGGCACTTGCTGATGCTCAACCTCAACTTGTTGAAGAGCAAATCCAGGAAAATATCAATGAGGGAGCGGAGGCCATTGAAGAAGACGAGGAAGTGGTGCAGACAAAAGAGAAAAATGTCCAGAACGAAGAGCAAGAAAACAATGGAAGTCGTCAACTGTATGCTGATTTTGTTGAGCATAAAGCTCAGGATCAAGATGTGAATCAGCAACTCGCGCATGGACAAACTGATCAAACAAGCATAAGAGAGACAAACAAGGAAGAAGACCATGAATCCGAAAGCAGGGATGTGGTGGATGAGAAGAGAGAGGACCAGGAACAGAGTCAACATGCTGAGGCTGAGTCAGACAAGCAAGAAGACCAGGGTGGTTCAGAGAAAGGGGAGGAAGATGATGGTCTGCACGTCGGTGCTGAGTCAGTGGAGCGAGCTGAGCAAGAAAACGAGGAGCAGAATCAAGATCAGCATGTTGTTGAGGAGGAACCTGTCGCGCAAGGAGATCAGGATGATGTGGACGAAGATGGAAATGAGCTCACCGCAGATGGTGCAGTGCTTGACGGTGCAGAGCAAGGTGGCGGAGATGATATCGTTGAAGAAGGTATCATTGAAGACGATATCGCCAAGCCTGAAGACCAAGAAGATGAGAACATGAGAGAAGAAGAAGAAGAAGAAGAAGAAGAAACTGTGAGAGCAGAAAAACAAGAAGAACAAGAACAGGACCAGGAACAGGAACAAATCATCTCAGAGGCGGATACTGCAGTGCAAGAAGAAAGGGAAGAAGATGGAGTGGACACTCCCGTCGTCGACCCCGAGTTCATTCAACATGAAAATCCTGAAACTGAGACCCCAGAGCAAGAATTAGGCGGGCAGAATGAGTCAAAGAGGGATAATGAATCAAAAGGACAGACTGATTCAGAAATACAGAATAAATCAGAGGTGGACAGTGCAGTGCAAGAAGGAATCGAAAATGAAGATGATAACCCACCTGTCGTCGAATTTGAATTCGCAGAGCTTGGAGACCAAGAAGAAATGGGTGAGGAAGATGGAAATCAGCTCCTAGCGGATGATGCGATTGATGATGCAGTTGATGATGGGGAGAAGGAAGAAGAAGAAGAATCAGTTAGCTTCGTCAATGCTGGGCCGATGGCCGGTGAGGTTGCAGGCCAAACGGATTGGGAAGGAGCAAACGAGGGAGAAGAAGAAGGCAAGCACATGCGAAATGAAAACCTGGATAACAAAGCAGAGGAAGAGGGAATAGACACCTTGCCAAAGACCGGCGGAAAAGGGGTTGCCAACATTGATGATCTATTCGAAGAAGCAGACCAAGAAGAGGTGCAATCGGTGCATTCAGAAGCAGAGGGGTATATGGATGTCGAAGTGGAGGAAGATGGCCCAGAATATCGGAAAATTGATCCAGATTACGTGTATGAAAGATTGGAAGGAGAAGACACAGATGATCCAGACGAGGAAAGGGAAGGAGAAGAACTAGGACACGCGGATCCGGACCTGGACGCAGACGACCCAGACAAGGAAAGAGAAGGAGAAAAACCAGAATACGCGGACCCGGACCTGGACGCAGAAGACTCCGAAAATGTGGACTACGAAGCGCTCGGATACGACTACGATGATGAAGAGCAAGACTCTATCCCGGACGATGAGATAGATTTTGAGGTCGATTACTAGGAAGACTTGTTTGTTGGTATCTTTGTCAATATGAGTGTTTACTCATGATCATGTTCTGCAATACCCTTGTGCTCGGTCCCTTAAGCACGCCCTGGGATATATAACTAGTAAGAGATACACAGAAAAAGCTCAGTCAAATAAGAAACTCCACCCAGGGTACCGGCCATGAAGAAAGAGCGTAGTCAACAGCCGTCACACATCATCGCATCTGTGCCAGACAGCATGCAACCCCGTGGCTGTTCTGTCCGTCAGCCCGTCAGCCCGTCAGCCCGATCGGGTGTGGCTTGCCGATCGGGCATTGAGTGGAATTTATAGTAGTGTGGGCGAAACAGAATGATCTGTTCGGACGCGGCATTTTCTTGAGTGATGCCTAAATATGAATCAAAAGAAAAAAGAAAAAGGAAATAAGGAAATAAGAAACCACGTCGGAAATCATCTCGAACACACTACTTGGTGATGAGGTTGAGGTAGTCGGCGACAATCAGTGTAACCATGCTGGTGGATCCGCGGGGTTAGTGACAGCACTACACGATAAGAAAGTCTTGGGGGTGGGGAAACTAACGCATGAGGAGCGATCCGCACATAGTAGGTGCCGAAGCCGCGGTAGAATCGCAACCAACCCTCCTCTTGCGCTACCTTACGCGCGCAGTCCAGCAGGCCCTTGTACGGCAGCTTGCCGGTCAAGGGATCCTTCTGCTGCTTCTGCAGACGAGTCTTGATAAAGTCAAATGGCAGCGAGAGGAAGCTGGCGAAGAAACCGGCGATCGCAGAGGCGGCAAAGGTCTGGCTCTGGGCCGACAAATTGGTGTGGGCCTTCAATTGAGCCTTGGACTCCGCAAAGAAGGTCAATTGACCGACGTTGAGGGCCATCGCGCGCACAACGGTCGGCAAGGCACCGGCCCACAGGGCTGGAACACCTTCCGACTTGGAGATGCGGACAAGCGCGTCCAGCGCCGAGCGGTAGTTAGCCCGCGCTGCGGGAGGCTTGAGGCCGTCCGATTGCATACGGACCAGGGCCAAATCGGCCGGGTTACCAATCATGGCTGCAATACCACCAGCAGTCAATCCGGCCCCCGCGCGTTCGGCAAAGGTGACCTTACGGTTAGCAGCCTCTGCGCGCTTGTTGAGCATTTTGCTGAAGGTGTCGAAGAAACCCAGGCGGGCGGTAGTGTAGACAGCTTGACGAAGGAGACCAGCAGATAGACCCGTGTAAAGATCGAGTACCTTGCCAGACGCGATGATGTCGCGAGCTACGCCAAAAGCCGAGGGTCGAGGTCCGGTGCGCACACCCTCGCCGGCTAATTGCAAACGGACTTTGATCATGTCAATGGGCTGAATGACTACAGTAGCGGTCATACCAGCAAGACCGCCATTGACGAAGGGAAGCGCCGCACGAGTGTAGGGGTGATGAAGGAAGTCCATGGCGGGCTGAGGTTCTTTGGCGGCGGCAACAGCTGGGGTTGTGGTGGTGGTGGTGGTTGTAGTAGAAGCCATGTTGAGGGAGTAATCGGGGTTCACTCCAGACCTATTGATTATTGTCAGTGTCTAGGATCAATGGCCAATGCTGAACAGAATGCTGCTCCGATTGAATGTAATGTTGAGACGACAGGCAGGGAATGAATATAAAGCTAAGACAACACGAGGAAAAGCGGGGTGGGGAAACAAAGAAGCTTGGAATCCAAGTCTGGAGGCTATGCCCCAGGCCAAAACAGTTGGGCCTGGCCAGGCACTTTCACAAGACCATCCGGGGATCTTCCAAGAGGGGAAAGCCGAAGCTACTTACCGTGGATGAAAGAAGGCGATGCAGAAGCAAAAGGAGGGAGGTGGTGGGAGGGAGCTTGAGGTGGTGGACGAGGAGGCAGATATTTTATTTATAACTTGGATGGAAAAGTTCCTGGTCAGATGATGGATGAGGAGGATGAGGAGAAGGAAAATGTCGCGGGGAAAGACGGACAGGGGGCAGGGAGGGTGAGTTTTAAGCAAAGTGAGTAGAGGAAGAGGAGAGGATCAAGCCTGGCAAGCACTGCCAGGCCGGGAAGGTAACCACCACCACTGTGACTGTTGGATGTGGTACAGAGAGTCTGGTACAGTCACAGTGATTGATGGGTCATACTCGGGCATCGGAACCTACAGTACAGTGCTGGTGGAGATTTACGGGGTGGTAGTTTTAGTCGTATTTCTCTTCAAATAGTCATCTCCATAATAGTATGATTGTTATTAAATACCTGATTTGCATATGGTCCAGTATCCACCAAGTAAGTATGTACTACTAGTAGTAAAGTAAGTACAAGTACACACCGCAGTACTTTGGACAAAGCAGCTACTGCATGATGCCCGCCAGGAAAATGCGGGGGGAGCGTGGCAACGTCATGTTCCAAGTTACCATTGTCTTTTCCCTATATCTTTTTTTCACTTTACAATCTTCATCCTTAATTTTGTTTGTATTGTTTCATAATGTATCACACACCGAGCAATATAACACCTATAGATAGAAAGAACGATAGAGACCGTTTTCCTCCACTCTTCATCCAACCTACCCTGCCCTGTACTGTTGTCTTCTCTCAACTCAACTCTCATACTCATACTTGCAGGTGTCCACCCACCGAGTGGGGAACTCAGCTCCCCCACCACATCCAGCGCCTAACGAGAACCCCCCGGAAACCCCGGCCAGGCCCGAGGTTAGACTCCATACATATGAATTTCTTGGCTCGACATGACATCCCAAGCATCAGCGCTGATCAATATTCTTCCGCATCTTCCGCTACTCCTCCCCCCCCCCCTCTCCCGCCCTGCTTTCCCGCATCCTCACCATCATCTCTCAAACCAACAACCAAGTGCATCAGACAGAAAACCCACCCTCCCCATCCATCTGATACTGCCGATAATCGGACTGATTATTACTCCTGAACACTTCGCCTCTCAACCATCCCAACAAGTTCCTTCCACCGAAGAACCAATCTGGATAGAACGGGACGAAATCCGGAGAAGGTCTCCTCCGGGTCTTAGTCCGGTGTTGGCATCACGGCGAAAGAACTACTGGCTAGGATTAGGGCACTACGATAAGATAGTAAAGAAGATTGATGTAAATGACAGTTACTGTTCGAACATAGCACACCATCATGACAGAAATCATAGAAGTAGATATATGATAACCTAGATAGACCATCTTCACCAACTCCTACTATGTTACAGTACGTGTACATCTCCACGTACCCACATCGAGCAAGCTCCCAATTTAGATCCCTATCTTCACCTAGGTATAACGCAGGAGGAGTATCACACTCGGGATCCCGGAGCGGGAGATAGTGAGCCGCTGGGCGGATCTCGGTAATGTCTTTCGGGCGGGAGGAGGGGAGTAGTAGGCTACTTTCTACATGAATCTTCTGCTAATCCCCCGGCTATGCTACCCAGCAACCCTTAAGGCTAGGAGGACTGTCGTCCGGAATGCCCAGTCGCTGTCTCTAAACCAATCCCCTGGCGGCGATTGATCATGCTGCGCACTGACCATATCCTTCCCAGGCTGTTAGCTCGCTCAGGGTAAGGATCAGGGTGAATAAACAGCCGATTATCGGTGGATACTGGATACGGACTGCCATGTCGGAGGAATCTATCTCCCCCAGAGCCTATGGCTCTTTGTGGATCGCTAGTACGCAGAACGGATCCGCCTCGCACCTGATGTTCTCAATGAACCACTTGGTAAATATGAAGTAGGCGACTGCCCCGTTCTTCTTCCCAACAATTTTCTCATTGCTGTGACTGTCTGGTTGAGAAGTTGAAACCACAAACCCCCACACTATACATCAATACACATATTCACATATCTGGGTTTGGACTCCGTATCGAAAACTCTCAGACTCCCAAAAGGTATCAATCAAATCAAGGCACAACCCGTTGCTCCCGTTCTTTTGCCTTCAGGTATAACCGAATAGCCCGCATTGTCTGCCGAGCCCGAGTGCCTTCCCGCCTCAGCCTGCCGATGCTTTCTACTGAGAAAATTCCCTCGGCCTGAACTGAAGGACCGGCCCCCTCTTCTGGCTGATGATGTGATCATAAAGCTGAAACTCATGCGGATTCGACCGCCCGAGCTCCCCACAGTCTCGATTGCCTGCTCCCATCTCCCCCGCAATGCCATCCGCCCGGCGGAAGTCATACTGCCAGATCAGGCACGCCAGCGCTAACTGCAGCTCCATTTGTGCCAGATGTCGCCCGACGCAGGCGCGCGTCCCTTGTGAAAAGGGTGTATATGCGGCTGTCGTGATGCTCGCTTGCTCGAGCGAGTCATCAGCGTTGCTGGTCAGCCACCTCTCCGGGAGGAACGTATCTGGCCGCGAGAAATATTCTGCATTGTGATGGATACTATAGATTCCGGTACCGACACTGCAGCCCTCAGGGATCACGTGGCCGTCGACAACTATGGTGTCTCCCTTTTCGACCCGACGATAGGGACATCCGGCTACGGCCGGAGAGATTCGGAGAGTCTCCTTAATGCAAGCGTGCAGATAGGGGCACTGTTGGAGAAGAAGGGGCCCTGTGCGGATTGAGTCCAGTGTTGGAAATGTCGTGCGGATTTCCTGAGCGAGGCGGGCGTAGGCGTGAGGATAGGTCGCCAGATAGAACAGATTGGCGCAGAGCGAGACAGATGTGGAGTCGGACCCTGTCATTCATGCCATCAGCAAGTCATGAGATAGATGAGAAGGAGCAAAGTAACGGAATATGTGACCCACCAGCAACAGCCAACATCGCAGCCTCGGAGTAGACGTCCGCATCGCTGAATGTGGGTCCAGTCCCCGCGCTCACCTTATTATCCCGCGCGTTCGTCAATCGACTAAACACATGGCCTGACATGCTCGCGGCGTCCGCCATCATAGTGTTCACCAGCCGGTGATATCGCTTCATTCCGTGCATCTCATCAGGGAATAACTTCCGATCCAGTCGACCAAGAAACACGTACGGAGCATACATCAACAGTGACAGTCGCTTCATCATCCCAGTGATGTCGTACACAGTGCATCGGTGCTGCTGGCTCCCAAGTAGATTAACCGCCTTTCCAAATACCAGCTCCGTGATCACATCAAATGCAAAATAGCTGCACCAGTCTGACATGACCATTGGTTCTCCCCAGGAACTGTCCGAATCGCCTTGGGATTTCGGGCGGTACAGCGATTTGCAGAATTTGTGGACATGTGCCAACAACTTTGGCTCGAATTCGCGCATTGCCGTGCTTGAAAATCCAGGGCTTATGATCTTGTTTCGTCTAGCGTGGTCCGTGGGGCTCGTGACCGTGAGGAGGTTCTTGGTGCCGAGTTGAATAACACCGTAGTGGACATCTTTCCGAAGGTCCTTCCCTCGGACGTAGATATCTTTTTCCCTGATTAGCCCAGAAACAATGGCCATTTTCCTGCATAGCAGCAACACACCTTTCATTCCACTTGCTGTGTTAAAAATCACCAAGTTCGGCGTATATCGAATCACCGGCCCTACACATCCTCAGTCAGCACTTCGAGACTCCTTTCCATTGAAAGGTCACTATATCCATTTAAGCTCACCATACTTCTGGTGGCACCACCAGATATGTAGATGCAAATCTCCTTTGACAGCATGATACGCTGCCCCGGCTTCGGTGAATTTGCCAAGCCATGGACCAGGATACTTAGCCAGAGGATGGAAATAGACCTGATATATGCCGTACACCAGGAGCTGCAAGTTCAGTGTCAGCGCGGTCGCGAATTAGCTAAGAGACACGTAGTCTGTATCCTCATGTCGCAACAAGCGATCTTGAGACAAACTAATGACCTACCGCGAGAACGACGGACCCCACTCCCATCAGCGCCAGAGGCAGCGAAACCAGGGAATGAGATGTAATCATATTCTCGTCCATGATGTTTATGCATGCACTGAATCTCAAGCTCTATGCAGCACACAATTTTCCCATGGCGATCTTAGTTGGAGAGAAGTGTTGTATCTCAGTTTAGTGCGGACGCGACGCGATAGTCTCCAGAACCGATCAAGGAGATTTCGGTGGCGCGAGGCTTACGCGCAAGAGTCCTTTGCTCTCGCACAATAGAGAATGCACATACGTGTCTGGGAAATTCGGAGGGGTGTGCTTACCCCCTGAAGGCGGGAATGGCGTAGACAGGAGGCAAATTCGAGAATACAAGTGACCACCCTCCTTGGAGGGGTGCTCAAAGGATGGTGGTGGTTATGGACCACTCAACTTTCACGTGGAGAGAGATTTAAGCGGGCTAGTCAAGCATCCTTGCTTTGGCACCTTGAAAAGGCCTCGAGGCTCAGTAAGGACCACACACCAGACAGGGCACTACATGTCTGGCACGTATCAGCTCAAAGGGCGGCATTCACCCCTTGACAGCTGGAGAGAGCTAGGAGGCGATCGACAGGCACGGTATGTCGGAGCACTGGCTCACAGGTACTCGAGTAGTATTAAGGTATGTCGAAGAGCGAGGTCGTATTATGGTCATTCCCAGCTAAGTCGAACCTTGTCTAGCCGCAAGAACTAAACTCGGAGATGCAATGTACATGGTGCATGCTGGATCTGTTCCTGCATCGAAGTCCCACGCGTACATTACCCCAGTAGTTCACGGATCCACCCCTGTCTTCGATCGAGGGATGACTCGGAGAAAATTGGTTTGGCTGCATCCCGCGTTGACGCGAACTATTTAGCGGCCTCCTTGCGTGGGGAACGGGGCTTGGAAGCAAGATGATCTGTGCAGATCTTAGTGTGCGCCTTTACTGCAAGGATTGGCCTGGTTTCTTCAATGGTGAATAACATACCAGGTGCTCAAGAGATGATCTGAGGTTGGAAGATAGTGCTGTCGAGGCATCACCTATAAGCAGTCATGAATGTCGGAGGCGCTTCAGCTAGCGCCCGCATGCCCACCCCACTAATGCCCTGAGCACTGCTCTCCACAAGAGCTACCACCTCAGGTAAACTAACCGCAGAGCGAATCTTGATTTGATGCTATCTTGGGAGGGGGTAAGATGCTGAAAGTGTGGAAAGGTATCGCCGGGAGGTGGAATGTGGAGGGAGATGTTTCCCGCCGCGTAGATCCTATGGTCAATTCGGAACCCTTAACTCACCACCCGGCAACTTCCAGTTCAGGTGCCAGGGATCCATGATCAAAAAGTCCCAGCCCATCATTCCCATACTAGAGGGTAGGGAGTTGTCGCATGGAACTAGATTTACTTTTACATCACAAAGAAGAAAGAATTGGTTAGAACTGAATATATTTTCAATAGGCCAACAGCCAGTATTGGACAGACCAAAATCAGAACAGCCATTGTCAGCGCGATTTTCCCTCCGCTGATCGGCATAAAGCCACATTCAGGTATCTGAAGAAGAAAGAAATCATATGACCCAATATTTGAAACACAGCACGCCATGCGATATGATAAACCAAAGGGAATCAGCGAACAAGAAAAGCAACAATCTACTGAGGCACCGGACCGGCCGCAATGACCTCCTTGGTAGCTTGGTCGGCGTACTTGGCGAAGTTCTCGTTGAAAAGCGTGGCCAGCTTGTTGACCTCGTCCTTGAAGTTCGTCGTCGCGGTCCAGCTGTTTCTGGGGTTGAGGAGCTCCGAGGGAACACCAGGGCAGGATTTGGGCACGTGCAGGTTGAACACCTCGTAGGTCTCGTACTCGACCTCGTTGAGGGAGCCGTTGTGGATGGCGTCCAAGATGGCGCGGGTGTACTTGAGAGGGCAACGCTTGCCACCAGTGGTGGCGCCAGCGCCAACCCAACCGGTGTTGAGGAGCCAGGCGTTGGCCTTGTGCTGCGAGATCTTCTCCGCGAGCATAGTAGCGTAACGCATGGGGTGAAGAGCAAGGAAGGGCTGAGCGAAGCAGGAAGAGAAAGTGGCCTGGGGCTCGGTCACACCATCCTCAGTACCGGCCATCTTGGAAGTGTAACCGGAGATGAAGTGGAACATGGTCTGCTCAGTGGTGAGCTTGGAAATCGGAGGAAGAACACCACGAGCGTCGCAAGTGAGGAGGATGATGTTCGAAGGGTGCTTCTCGGATAAGCAGGGGATCTTGGCGTTCTCAATGTACTCAATAGGGTACGCGCAGCGAGTGTTCTCAGTGAGAGTGCAGTCATCGTAGTCGACAACACGGGAGATGGGGTCGAAGACAACGTTCTCGAGGACGGATCCGAAGCGGATAGCGTTAAAGATATCGGGCTCCTTCTCGGCGGAGAGGCCAATGCACTTGGCGTAGCAACCACCCTCGATGTTGAAGACACCACGGTCAGTCCAGCAGTGCTCGTCGTCACCGATCAAAGCACGCTTGGGATCGGCAGACAGAGTGGTCTTTCCGGTTCCGGACAGACCGAAGAAGACGGTAACATCACCGTTCTCGCCCTCGTTGGCAGAGGAGTGGAGAGTAAGGACGTTGTGCTTGACGGGCATCTCGTAGAAGAGAACAGTGAAGACACCCTTCTTCATCTCACCGGCGTACTCGGTACCGAGAATGACCATCTCCTTCTCGGCAAAGTTGATGGCAACGGAAGTAGCAGAGGTCATACCCTCAGTGAAGCGGTTGGCGGGGAAAGAGCCGGCGTTGTAGATGACATAGTCGGGGTGGAAGTGTTTCAGCTCCTCTTGCGAGGGGCGGATGAGCATGTTGCGCATGAAGAGAGCATGGTAGGCGCGAGCGCAGACGACACGGACGCTGATGCGATATCTCTCGTCCCAGCCGGCAAAACCATCGATAACATAGATGCGGTTACGGGTGTTAAGGTAATCGACAGCACGCTCACGGTTGATACGCCAAACCTGGGGACGTAAGTTAGCTTGAGTTGGAGATACACGGATGACGTCACCGGTGTGACTTGATCTGCTCCAATGGCGCAAACGCAAGCGCAGACAGAAATGAAAACCATTGTTGCACAGCAGTCGAAAGATCGAAAAAGCCTCAGACCATAACATGATTTGAGGCATTTTGCTAATCTTCCGGGGGCTACCGTGGCACTGCGGCCATGATCTCTGCCCTAAAGCTTGGCTTGGTCCCGCAGCCAGCCGACATGCAAGGGGGGCAGGCAATGCGCGATTATACGCCAGTCCAAAACTTACATCAGGAGTCATGGGCTTATTGACAGGTCCCCACCAGATCTCATTCTCAGACGATTCCTCCTTGACGATACGCTTGTCGGAGGGGGAACGGCCAGTCTTGGCACCGGAGTATGCAGTCAAGGCACCGCTGGAGGTGATGGCAGTACCAGTCTCGTAGACCAGAGCATCTTCGTAAAGAGCAGGAACAGCAGGGTTCGCGATCTGTTTCAGTTAGTTGGCGCTATGATTCATAGATGAGGCGCAAAGAATCGTACAATAGCAACGCGGTCATAGTCAATGTGGGCGTGCTCGTGGAGTTCCTCCTCGAGCTCAGTGTGACCCTTGCCTGGCCTAGATAGTCATTCGAGTTAGCGACCTTTTGTCGGCGACATTCAGAAAGTCATGAGGTCATATAGGTCCCTGCCATGTCCCATCCGAGACAGCAGTAGACCATCGTAAAACCAAAACAAGGGGAAGAAAGAAGGAAAGACATACTGAACACCACCAGGGTGCAGCGCAGTGCGGTTAACAGAAGCAGCAACCATGTTTCTTAGTGAAGTAGAATGATAATTATTGTTTCGTTGCTTTGCAACTTGCTGTTGAAAGAAATCTGTGTAGAGAGGACCAGGATCGACGGGGGAAACGGGGGGTATATGAATGTTTCCAGCTGGGGCCATGATGGCAGCGAATTCAGGTCGCAACGAGGTTTGGATCTTTGGAGTAATGAGCCTTCTCCACAGTTCCACGGAAGATGTCGGGGCTAAGGACCGGGCTGAAGGCTGAAGCGGTTGTTGGTTATCGTGGAAAGTCGAAACAGTCGAAACAGAGGAAGAATTGCCTCTCGGGGTAGTCCGACTTGTTCCGAGATCTGAGATGTGGGCACGAAGTGGTTCCGGGTGCTCTGCGCGGATGCACCAACTAAAAGTGAGGGAATAACAGCAGGATCGGGAACAAGAAATGAGAATTCAGGCGTTATCAACCGATAGTGCGTTAATGTCTCAATCTAGGCCAACAGGGAGGAGGGGGAGAATGGGAGGGGCTGAGTTGATTGTAGCTAGAGAAGTAAAAATAAGAAAAAGGTACTACTAGCCGTACTCTCTCTACACAGTAATAATCGGTGTGACAGGCTCGAGATATCAAAGCCGTCCATTCTGCAAACGAGGTATTTAACAAGCCCCCTGCATTTTCTATTACGAAACCGACAGTCAGTCCTACGAACTGAAAGCAATTATTCCCAGCTTTCTCCCACGGAAGCGCAGAGTCAGTTTTCTCTCTTGACCATCAACTGACAGTTAATGCGGGAAGTGATGACGTTGAATGAACTCAAGAATAGCCAACCATCCGGCGAGGATTTTAGAGGCGATTAACCTACAGGACATGGGTAAACGATCCATGATGGAAATTGCGGGGGAAGGAAGCCCTCCCTATGGCCTTCTAAGCCTCTCCCAGATCAACGCAGACTATTCCCGACTGGGTAGCAAGAGAAGCGCCCGGCCTGGCAGAAAAAAATTCATTATTAGAAAATGTCCGTCCTCGGCGCGACGGAGCACTTCCGTATTCACTAACGAAAAAAAGGTGGGGAGGCCCCCGTTTGGCTTATGTAATATTCTGACCGCCCGGAGGCTGCAACCATCCCCAAATTGCCCCAATTGCCCCTGATTACAGGCCCAGACCCAGGAGTCTTTCCGAGTGACGAAATTCCCGGGAGAGAAATTCGGGTGTTGCTCCATGGCTCTAGTCTGTTTTCGGTCAAGTGTGAGTCAGCTGCCTTCCGAAGCCCTTCCCGGTCCGGCCAATGAAACAAGTCCACTTCTCCGGATTGACAATCAGACGTCACCATCGTGAAATGCGGTGGGCAGAAGATATTGCCGTGCTTTTTTTTTGACTCCAAGTTTTCGGGATGTGAACCCCCCCCTGAGGGCCATTTTGGGAACGACACGAGAAAAGAAGAGGGAAGATCAAGCAAAAGATCAGAAAGCACCCATTCTTGAGGCACCTGCTCGTCATACCGCGTTCATTGCGCGTAAGCCACCCCCCGTCTTTGCTACGAGTACTCATATGTAAAATCGCTCATGTTAAGATCACGCACACCCCAATTGAGGCATTAATTTGTGTCTACAATCCCCTACTGATGCACACTAAACTAAAGAGATTTCCCCCGTCGAACGTACACCCAAAAGCAAGTACTGAACAAGAAAAACAACGCACATGACAGGCCCATCCCAAAAGTCTTTGATCCCGACTTTCCACGAGGATAACCGACTGTTACCACAGCATAGAGTAAACCACCCCCTGGGGGGCGCAGCACATCAAGCCCACGCAGGGGTCAGGCGCGCCTTTTTTCTGCACGTCCCCTCGGATCGAGGGCTTTGGCATCAGAAAAGCCGCCTGAGTATGATGAGGAGAAGTGTAACTGCCGTAAACACTTTTCCGGACCAGAGCACTGATAGAGGTGTAGTTGGTACGTTTGGGCAGGCAGGCAGGCAGGCATAGCCGGTCGGAAAGGAAGGTCGGGTCTTCAAATCTGTACCCCGCATCCGACCAGAAAACACGGGCCAGTTCCCCGGATGTTCTCGTCCTTTTTTTTCGCCTGGCGACCTTTTTTCCCGGTTTCCACCTGTTCTGTCCTGGACGCCTGGTGGGTGGCGGCTTTCCCGGTTAGGAAACTTGTCCAAGAACGGAAGTCATTCAACGATGACGACAGAAACATCATTCTTTAACATTCACATTGTATACGGTCCTCATGTTCCTCACACGAGAGATACACCTACCTACCCAACAATCAACTACAGACGAAAATGAGATTTGCACCACCACGTATTCCCATCCGTGTCCCTGCATACAATATCCTCCTTAGCCAAAAAAAAAAAAAGTCTCGACCCCCCCAGGCGCGTGGCAATCAAAATCCCCCATCACGCGCGTCAACCGCTACCCCGTACGAAACTAATTGATCATCCGGGTTAAACCAACCCGAATCAACAAAGCATTGTCTGCCAAGCAAGAACCCACGACAGCTGAGAAAGTCAGCAGGAGAGCTTCAAGCGGTACGCTTAACTGGATAAACAAAAGTTCCATTTTCCCTCAAGCCAAGGCGAGGCTATTCCCGAAAACAACAATCATCCACGTGCTCGTGATTTCCCCCGACCTCCCCGAGGCAATCCTTCCCCCAGTCAGCGGGATGTGGGGACATAATTCCCCCTTTTTCCCCCCCCCTCGGCCGGAAGTTTTAGGAAAGGGAAGAATACGCCGGCGGACTGCATGCAGTACCGAGTGAACATCTCGGTAACGAGCGGCTTCTAGCGGTGTGTACATACAGTACCTGGACAAACGACTACTGCTACTATAGTCGCTTTCTTTGTGGATTCAGACTTGTAGTTCAACTATGTGATTAACCATCTATGACGAACCTCCCGAGAAAGAAGGAGTCTACAGATTTCGTCACGCTAACTGAACTTACGTAGCTGAGTCACAGCTCACCAGTCCTTCCCCGGGGATCTCTAGACTCTGGAAGTCGGGAGCCTAGTGGAGCTTTGCCGAAGTTTGTGGAGATAGAAGATATATTTTTGGCATGTCTTGGTTGGCTCCGTTCCCGGGGAGGGTCTAGACTGAAGAAACTTTCTCATCGGTTGTGATCGCCTGACCTTGAAGATAGATCTCTGGGGGCGACTTGAGGCTTGCAGAAAATTGACACGCGATGGAACCTCGCATATCGTGAGCCCGTATCATGCCTCGAGCACAGTCGCCTCAGGTTCAGACCCCATCCTTCTCGTACCGCCCACGATGCAGAACACACTGCGAATTAGTGGCGTAATATCATGACTGAAGCTGTGGTCTACATTAGATACAAGTTCACATAGATGGTGGTTCGAAATTACCAGAAAGATGTTTGCGTATATGAGAAGGGTTCATTATGCAACCTTGTGATGAACAAAACCTCAATATGCTACCATCAAGCATCCCGCGCTTGAGATGCCATGATCTGCTGCTAAATGAATATCTTGATGACCCACAAACCCTGGGGGCCCTCCGAGTTGAGATTGTAGATGTTAGCAGTCCCATTGTCCTTACCGCCGTCGCCAGCTGGCAACCATCTACCGCAATGGTCCAAGGGACTGAGTCTTAATACCTTGATCACCAGACAGCTCCAATAGCCAGCTCAGCTACCTAGGGACTGTAGGCCTTCTTGATCGAAATATGTCCAACCCATGAGGGGCATATTTCCCATCAAGGACCGATTTACAATCTCCAGGCACCTACTCGACTATGTGAGTGCATGGTCGCAGATTCAGCATGCAGCCACGAGATAGCTCCCCACTTATCACTTTGTAATCGGCCATGATCTGCAATGTAGACATCGACTTGCCCACGTAAGGAACACATGTTCATCCTGATATTCGCATGAAGAGACCCCCACATCTGCTGCCCCGGCTTGCCGAACTCATCGTCTCCCATAGGGGCCGGATTCGACGAGGTGGTTGTGACCATTGAGCTTAGAACGGCCAGGTGAAGCCCCTGCAGCGTCGATACTGCTAAATGCATGCGATCTCGAAAAGCCCCCGGCGTGGAGTAAATTCTGAATCAAGCGGAAGTAGTGAGATCGCCAACCCAAGGCACCCGATTCTCCGATAAGAGATGTAGATATATATCCAGACGCGGCCTTGCTTGGGGTTGGAGTGAGGGGCTCCCGATTGAGGTTTCATTCTGCGCATGCCCAGACGCAGAGCTCCTGTACAGTAATGCAGTCAGAGGGCTTCATATGCTATCGACAAGCAGCTGGGGAGGGTGGTGGTGCTATATGCAGTGATATTGGTGAGAATCCATATCACTATGAGTCCGACCTTATCAGCACCACAGCCAATCACAACGACGGGAAAGCGGGTACATCAGCCTGGATCACGCGGCGGGGTAAACAAACGACAGCTCAAGGCTGGAGGCTGTTTATTCCTGTTCTCACTTTTTTCACCACCTCGAGTCGCTTCGCTTTGTATCTCTCATCCTCGCGAATATTGATCTTCCTTCACCTCAAGGTACGCTGCCCCCATATCTCAATCTTGTGTGTAACCAGACCCCACCAGGTCAACTCACACATCCAACCACAGCCCCTCACCGACTCCAAACAGAAACAAATCTTGCAAAAATGGGCCACAACTCCTGCCCCTCTTGCGGTGCTACCATCGCTGGCGAAGTGAAGACCTGCGGCTCTTGCGGAAAGGTATGGCATACATCTCGTCTGGTCTTTTTGTTCAACCCTCTTATTCATGCCACTAGACCTGCCCTGTCTGAAGTCGTCCTTCTGGCTTCCCGGGGTTGTTTTCAAATCGCCTCGAGATCGCAGATCACAATCTCAGTATCAAGTCAGCGGCGAATGGTCGATGGTCTGGACATAATATGGACTGATATGTATTGAGCTGGCATGGCACGATGAATGCATGAATGAAATGAATGAACGAATGCGCGTCTCTCGTTCCATCTCCTTTCTTCGTCCATATCGAGTAGGACAGAACATCCTTTCAGACAATAGCCCGAACGGTGGCTGAGCCTCCTGCTCGGTGGCTAAATAAGGGGATATCCAAATGCTCATTGCTCCCATTGAGCGGACTATCCTCGCTTAGTCGAGTCATCGTTCCTGATTCTTTCCGTACTTGGCCATTTTGCCCGCCAGTGTCGCTGTCAGACGGCCGCGAGAAGCGGTTGTTGACAATCATCGAATGCCGCTGAGGATCAACTGAGCAATTATTGGGGAGGGCTTCATTATCTGAGAGCAGAGCAATCGCCACCGGATGGTCACGGATCTTGCACACGCCGAAAAACTTGTAGAGCGCATCAAGCGCAGGTACCGACAGTCCATGGACAACGATGGAGAATAGCACTAACCAGTAGACAACTGCGTAGACTGCGGTTAGGTGTGAATTAATTCCAAATAATAATGATCTGTAGTCTTACCTGGTGTCATAGCGGCGGTCAGATTGTTAATCTCAGTGTCACTTTCGCCTGGGGAGGGAAAGAGGCGGCGAGCATACTCCACATATGCGATAGCACCGATACCTGCCAAGTAGCATGAGCCTGAGAACGAACGTTATCCTGGGGGCGAGCGCTGCTTACCGATCGGTCCGAAGTAGCCCAAAAACAACGCTTCTTTCCAATCACTGCAAACCCTGGGCATGAACTTGTATCCTGCGATAATGGCGGGAATGCGACGAAAGATAAGGATTAAAAAGCCTAGTCCAAGTAGGCGCCAGATGGAGATCCCAGTGTCATGGGGTCTATGAAACTGGTCCCATGGCATGACTGCACCAAGATACATGAAAGCTGCAGTGTTCAGCAAAGTCTCGATTGTCGAATTGAAAGAATCATGCCGGGCCTGCATCTCAGCCTGGTAAAGGCCATCCCAGTTGAGCACACTCCCAGCTATGAAGCAGGCAAGTGTTTCATCGGATCCAAAACAACCGCACGTCCCAACAATCAGCATGCCAATTGCCACAGGGACCAGAGTAAAGCTTTCATTATCGATCCATCTTCGCTTGGATGCGCCTTTGACTAGCTTCTTGCAAGTGAAGCCGACAAAGGCACCGTAGGAGGCACCCAGGAAAATCATGTACAGGACTCCCTCCACGGCCCAATGTTTCAACGCAGGGCCGACTCCTCCACCAAAACGCCCTGCGCTCGTTGCGCCAAGTGAATCGGGGATGCCTCGCTCCAGATCGAAGTCCTCCAGGCTAGCGGTGTTTTCAGGCGCTTCTGCGTAACGCAACAAGGAAAGCGCAAGCAGCAGAAATGGAAAACCGAAGCCATCATTTGCCCCTGCCTCGGCCGAAATAAACTCTCGAAGTGGTCGACGAACATAGTTGTCTGCAAAGGGACCTTTTGCAATGGCTTGAGATAGAACAGGATCCGTGCAAGTCACGCAAGCGCTTATAATAAGCGCTGAAAGCTACACACGAGACGGTCAGCACAGTCTTATAGGTTGGTGCCTGAGTTGTTGAAGTTCCAGTGAACGTACAAAGGATATACTGGGAATCGCAAGCAAGATACATGCAGATGTTGCAAACCATGCTATAGTCATGAGCGGAAGAAGACATATAGCCAGTTCGCAGAGACGCTGTCTTATGTATCTCTTGGGCAATTGATATCCAGCTTTTACCAACTGTATGCCAATCACTAGGCGTGTCAGGTTCTGCTATCATCAGTATCGATCTATCAGTAGCTTATCAGAGTGGAATTTACAAACGCGATGTCACTGCGGTAATCGTCATCGCCTCCTCCCCACTGAGATATGTTCAGGAACCTAGCGCCGATCGGCCCTAGCGAGACACCAATTAAAAAGGCTGGCACTAGTTGAGAATCAGTATCAGGTTAAATCAGTGCGAATCTTGGGTTCATACAGGCTTCCCCGAGGTACCACCTCTGCTTGATTCTGAGCGAAAAATATCCGAAAATGAGAATATAAAACGCTTTATCACAGTAAGTTGTTGCGCTTTCTATATGAGTTGATTCCGGCGCTTCTCACCTATAACAGAGACGACGATATTGAAGTTGCTGAGGTCAAGAATTGGATGCAGCATGGCGCCCGTGCCTTGAGAAGCACCTTTATAGTTCGACCAGCAACAGAGAGTGTCTGACGAGAAGAATGAGCTTCTTGCTGAGATTTTGGCGTAAGCGGATCTCAATATTCAAGCAACTGAAAATAGCATGTGCATCAGGAGGTATTTGTATAAGGAGGCGCCACAATTCAACTAGAATCTGATGAGCGGCGCGGAAAGTCCTAGGGCAAACATCTCAGACAGCACCACATTGAGACCTGCTGCCCTTTGATATCCCTGTAAAAGAATCGAGGGGCACTGTGTGTTATCTCTCACACTTAGATTGGTGCGATTGCTGTGGGTCGCCATACGCCTCCCTTGCAGGAAGCAATGCTGCTGCAAAGCTTGGCCGCGCTCGCTCGCCATAATCGGCGTATCTCTTTCTAAGGTACGTAGGTCGTCATGCCAGTCGTTATCAAGATGGTTGTAAGCGTGCATGCCAGCATGTTTAGACTCTCGGGTTGTTATGCGGATATCCCAGGGATTGCTTGTTCGTGACGGGCTATTGATTTAGCATAATCAGGAAACGGACGATAGCAGAAAGTCAGATCTTCTTAATCGGACAGGTCTGCGCCAAGCCGGCAGGTGGCGTAACCATCTGTAAATCTGACTGTTTGGTTCGCCATTTGAGTGCATAGAAATGGCCCAAATCGGTGGTGTCACATTTCAGTTCCAGTAAGGATCACAGGGCGAAACAAGGAGTCAAGGGAGAATCTAAACCAGATTGCGTAAGTGTGCCTGCACTGAGAATGACAGTTTGCGTCTCAGGCCCATGTCTTAACTACTGATTGACAAATAACGAACTTAGGACAACTTGATGATGACAACAAGGCCTTGCGATAGCGGAACATGCTTTGGAGATATTGTTTTGGCGTCCAATATATCACTCTTCTTGACCAATAGTCCACTTGTACGTTGAGCATCGCCTTTTGAAGAGCCTTGACTGACTCTCGTCTGCGTTAGTGTCATCAAAAGACATAGAATGTCTGGATAAGACACCCCGTGGGCGTCCTGGCGCAGAGTTCGATAAAAGCCACTCAAGTTTCTGACAGATTGCACATCTAGCATCCAGGCTCCAGCCAAAGCGACGCCTGCCGGGAGGCTCGTGCAAATTCAGCCAATGTCGGGTTTGACATGGTCGATGATAAGAAGATGGTTTCGAGACCCAAGTCAGGAGTCACTGGCTGCAAGCAGCCGCAACCCCGCGAGCACCTTGCGGACTGCAACTCTGGACCACAGCGGTATTTTCACCATATTTGGTGAGCCAAGAACAAGTCAAGATATTTATAGTATATACACATTGAATAGGAAATGACAACATGTACACGATCTCTTTCGATCGCAGAATCGCAGAATCGCAGAATCGGAGGACTCTTGTGGCTTCATGGTTCAAAGCTTCATTTGACCGCAAGAAAGGGGAATAAATCTTAGGCTACACATATGGCAATAACAGAAGCCTGCGTTGCAGGGCAGAATCTCAACTGGGAATATTCCAGTGCATAAAACCCAGGCTTTCCTATGTTCGAAGATGAATAATAAATCTCCCTGGCTTCACGCCTTTACTCAGCATGCGTTTTCGGTGACAAGTAAACTTGGAAGAAGGAAGACGATTCGGTGATTGAGCGGCTAACCTCAAAATCCACGCTTACTTGAAGCCTTTGCATGGAGAGAACTTAGCATCCGTTGTCTAAGCAGTCTTTCGCCACTGCGACCAGACACCAATCAAACTGCTGACCGTTCCTGCAATACCAACGAGACCATCATCAAGTGCAGCAAGACCAAGAGCAGACACAGGAACAGTCAAGTCGCACAGATCGGAGATCAACTGAATACGAGCTGTGGAGCGTTCCCTAGACAAAGATGTTAGCGTTCAGTTAAAAACCCGACCAGACAGTCTCGTTACGGATTCGCATACTTCTCAAGCTTTTTCGCCTCCACAACACCCTCGCCCTCCTTAAGATCAAGGGTCTTCGCCTTCTCCCTCAGCCGGAAGAGGGTATACAAACTAGCAACCGCGCTGCACGCCAGTCCTGCCATCCACGAGCGATAGGCCGAGTCCTGCAGTCGTTTCACGGAAGCAAGTTTGCGCACACCAATCGCGTCCACAACCGTGATGGTATCAAGAGACAAGTACCCAGCATAACCAAGCTGCCGACCAACCGCAAGGTAGCGAAGTACTGGGTCGATCGGGTTCTTGTTGTCGGAGGCCAGCGCGGCAGCCTTCAAGTGTTCAACAAACTTTCCGATTCTGAGGATCTTACGCGTGGTTCCGAACTGCTTCTTGATAGCATTATAGGGATCGATGGCAGACTGCGGGCGGTTGGTGCGGTACAAGTACCAGGCATAGAAACGAGAGAAATATTGCAGGGTGCGGAGAATCTTATCGCGACCAACTATGATTCAAGGAAAAATGATTAGATTGAGAAAGAAGAACAGACACGCGCGAGACCAGGGTAGAAGGAATGCTCAAGTCAACAGACGATGGGAAAGCGAGGTCGGGAACTTGCGGCTCCCCAATTCCGAGCTTCACGCGATAGAAACATGTCGGAGCACTGTACAATGGATGCATCTCACATACCAGTTGTCGCAACAAAGCGCAAATAATGCGCTACAGCAGGGTGATAGACCAGGGCGTCAGCAACCATTTTCAAGATGGGGATCTCTGTGCGTTGGGGTTAAGAAGAGGATGTCGGCCGATAGCGGGAGATGGATTCCGGCAGCTGTCAGCTCGTGGAGAGATAAGCGGTATGTGAAAGAGGACAGGCCAGCTGATGGATGAGGGACGGAGGATATGACGATCGGTGTTACACGTCACACAGAGAAGCAACGAGTAGACGGGGAAGAGGGGAGAGGACTAGAATAAGTTCTGGGGAAGAAGCGATGGGGGAGAGAGGGTGGGATGAATGATGGATGCTGGGGTCGGTAAATGACCGGGGATCGACGGGCGGGAGAGAAGGAAGGGTTCGTCTTGTGCTCTGCCCGCCCACTCAACAAACCTCGGTTGCTCGGTGCTTCTGATAACAAACGGGAGTAGACCAATATTGGTTTGACCACCAACTACCGTCATGTGTGCTCTGGTCACGAGACTCTTTGTCGGCTTCTCATTTCACATCATTTTTGCCCTCAAAGGCCATAACGGCATGACTTTGTAATCTCCACAGCTCTCTGGGGTGACTTTTGTTATACAGCATAAATTATAACTACCACCCAGCTATGGGCCAGACCTCACCTGAACGGCCCTAACGAAGTATAAGAGCTCGTCCGGTTGCTATTGTTTGATTGTTAGTGACTCAGCAATCCATTATATACTACATGGAGGCCATGATGGTCATTAGGTTTGTGTCCATAAATACATGAATCATCGGTCTGAGCGATGTTGTTGCGGTGACCGTAGCAAATATCATCTACTATTTCGCGCTTCTGGGCATCGTTCGCTCAATTTGTTGCTTGGGGTTCGTTCTCTGAGTTTTTTAGGGTGTGGATCGGCTCGCTGCATTCGTCGCTTGGGCTCATCAAGACTAAATGTCGCAAAGGGCGTCAAACGGGCTGCAAATATTGTGCAAGCATGGGAATGAATGGCGCTCAGTGGGCAAGCTTTTTGCTGGGTGATAGTGCGCCCACCATACGCGTTGACAGGTCAGTGCAGGGTCAAAAATTTAGCTTACTGCTCCTCAGGCCTCTCATGGGTCCCCATCAGGCTTGTGTTATATCCATGAGACTCGAGATAAGCACGGAATTTAGCATCTTCTTCGGTGATTGTGTCCTAGCGAAAGCAAAATGAGGTTAGCACAAGAATCCAACCCAGTATTATCAAAATAAAAGTGACCCAGCAGTGATCACATACCTGGCCAATCTGTGGCAAAAGGAAGTATGCCAACGCCGCGCTGAAGATGCACAGGGAGCTCGAGACGAAGAACGGATCCTGCCCGCTGCGGACTGGGTTTGGGGCGTTTTTCTGTATGATTGGAATCACATAAGTGCCCACAAAAGCACCGATCTTTCCGAAAGCAGCAGCGATGGCATAGAATTGACCTCTGACCGCGGTTGCGCTGCTTTTCGCACAGCAAAGGCCGATGTTATCACCGGGACCGAATTCCCCAAGGCTGGAAAAGATTCTAGTGGGCCACGTCAGTGGGTGTACAGAACCTCTAGTAGTCCAATTGCCTTACCCGAAGACCACGACAAACGCCGCCACATTCTTTGGGGTCGAAAGATACTCATAGCAGCCGGACATGATGAATCCAACGATACCCTGGAAAAGTACGCCAATAGCCAAAGTGTTGCGGGGCCCAATCCAGTCACTGGACAGACTACCAAGAAAGGATCCTGGAATGTAGAATGTGTAGGTCAAAGTAGTCCAACCGAAGCTCTTCCAAAGGGGAGCACTATCCCCTAGGATAATGGCTAACCAGTCTGAGGAGTATATGCTGAATGAATAGGAAGAGAAGTCATACAGGAACCAGATGAGGGAGAGCACAGCCTTGCTGCGGTTAGCCATACACCTTTTACCTCATAGAAAGAAGAAGGGTACTAACCAAACGCTTCCAGTAGAACCTGTCCAGAAATTAGTCAACGCGTATGTGGCTTGGGGTGATTGGTGAAAGACCGCTGGAGAGAAGATATGGGACAACATGATAGAATGATAAAAGTAGTACTCACTTCACAATTAGCCATAAAGGGAAAGTGTGCATGCGCTCTCGGTCGAACTCTTCAGGCTCTTCAAGCTTCAATCGCAAATACATCAGACTAAGAGGGGGTATTACACCCAGTCCCAACCCAACACGCCACACTGCGCGTAGGTGATCCTCGGTGAAAATCAAAACCAATATCATAGAAACCAATGCAGAAATGACATATGCAAAGTCGATCTGAAAATTGGTAAACATGACAAACCATCGGTTTCGATGACCTTGCTTCAATTCCCCGGTGTTCTCGGCGCAGGCCACACTTCCTGCTGGATATTCCCCACCGATTCCTATTCCCAAGAAGAAACGGTAGGCTGTCAACGCGGCAAACAGGCCATAGTGACTGTTGTTATAGCCGTATGCGCCAGCACATAAAGCAGCGAAGATGAACAGAATGATAGTGGATATCATCAACGACCATTTACGTGACCAATGATCACTTGTGTATCCAAATATCAGCATGCCAACCACTGTTCCCGCAAAAGTGATTGATGAAACGTTCTGGCTTGCGGGCGAGTTGGCATATTCAGTCGGATAAAGTCTCTTGAGTATGGTATTGACAGGTCCGATTATCTGGAGACGTGGTCAGCAAAGTCAATTCGAGCATTAAGCCGATGGAGGCAAAGAATCATGCATCAGGGTCAAGAATCCACATACACCATTGAGATATCCATCAGAAAAAAGCCCAGCACCACAGGCAATGGTTGGCCAACTGCGCTCCCAACGACTCTTGCCTCCCAGATTCGCATCCAAGGGCACCTCACGAGAGCCTGAGACTGCATCGACCGGTGCTTGGACATCTGCCTTGATATCCGTCTTCGACTCTACGGTTCCTTTCTCTTTGTCGTCTGACATTTTGTTGTTGTTGCAGGAAAACGGTCACGTACAGAAAAGGGAAGTTTGAAGTAAGCAAGGGGCAGTTGAGGGCGTGGTGCAACTATCCGTTGAAGAACAGGTCGATGCAAGGAGGGAAAGTGAGCACGTGCAAGTTCGAAAAGTCGATTCTCAACTATAGTATAGAGGCACCTTCGAGTTGGGTAGAAAACAAGATAGCAAGGACGGATGCGAAGACAAGAAGGTCTGAGAAAAGGGCAAAGGAAGGGGGTAAAAAAACTTTCTACAGGCGGGGAATAAAAAGACGCTCGTGATGAGGGCACATCAAGGCCACAGAGATCCGGATTCCTACCAGATCCATGCTATTCCAGTGCCACCATCCATCCAGGTTGCTCGAACCTTTAGCGAAATCGCCAGGATGTACTCCGAATGGCCCCTCCTCCTTAGCGGGCTTTAGCGCATGATTACCGCGAGTTAAGCGGTGGAAGAGTGGGGTTGCACTTCAAGCTTCCCTTCAACTTCCCCGTCTTCAGCCGCCCAACTGAACCAAAATGGAAAGTCGAAGATGCTCCACCTGCGTCTTGTCGAATCCTATCGAATCGCATGTTGTATTCGAGGATTCCGGTGGCCCATCGTTGAGGAGTACTAGCTAGGTTCTACAGCCTGTTTCCCATGTGATTGTACTTATAGGGCCTCCCTCACCGGCTCACCTGCCTCAGATACAACTAGCGTTAGTTCAGCTGCGAAAGCCTGCGATTATGCAAGTATACTGGCAAGAAGACCAACCACAAATTGGTGGCTGCAATAAGCTACAAGCACCGATAAGCCTATATGAACTGCACTAGTAGATTAGTAGAACATCAGTTTGGATGTAGTAGCTTAAGAGCTGGGATTGAGGCTACAGAGTCGTTTGAATGACTCTTCTGTTCTTCTCGACGTAGGCTTGAAATCAATGATCGAGATTAATGATCAGTAAAATCAGGTGTGTACGAGAGAAATTCTTCACCAAGGCCCTGGATCATATCTATATATCGCGTACTGCAGACCCCAATGCTGGACAACACCTAGTATTTGCCATGGCCAGTAATTAGGATCTTGGGACTCATGGAGATGCAGTGGTGAACAAGTAGTACCAATAGCACGAGAATAATCAACAGCCACGAAATAAACCATGGACCGTTCAATACAGGTACCATTGACTACTAGCTGGGGTTAAGCTCACTGTTCATACTCTTTATCGATACTGTGGTATTGTACCATGATTTGAGCCCTATTTTCTTTTTTGCTTTGCAAGGGAAAGAGAAAGTGATTCGAGGTAAGTTGTCAATCTGATATGGCTTTCTGAGCCCTGTAAGACTTCAAAAGTCAATGATCGCCAGTATTTTACATACCAAGCATCGAATGAGAGCATATCTATTGGAATTAGTCAAAGTACTGTACATGGTAGTAAGTCACCCAGAATTCGATTTCTCCGGAATGAGGGTGGAGAGTCTGTGTCGGTACCGGAAAAATACTTTCTCCAGCTGAGCTCGGGTCAGCTACGGTCCATCGGTGATGTATCCGCCTTCGTTCATCATCCTGTCAACAGATACCTTGGACAACGAACATCTAGCCTCTTCAATATAGCTCTCTCAACAATCTTATACCACCCTAAATTATCTGCGGTTGCTTGCTCATATCTTTACCGCCAACATGGGGTCCGATCCGCAGTACATAAAGTACCCCGATCTCGTTCTCGCCCAACATGTCTTCAACATCTCCAACCCAGCTTGCCCCCAAACGGTGCGACAGACATCACTAAAGAAAATTCAAGATGCCATCACAGAGCGAAAAATGGCCCCATTCTACCGCCATCTTGCTCATCCCGTTGAAGGTATCCTGAATCACTCTGGCGAGGGAGTTGCGCAGCACCCAGCCAAGTCCGCGATTACGTCGAACCTTCTTGCCTCCCGGAAGTCATCCCAGAAAATCGACTTCCCATGGGACGAATCCCTGTACCAGTCGTTGGTTGAAGATAACCGGAAAGAGCTGGAGGGTTTTCAGAAAGAGGAGGATGAGGCAGAAGAAGCAGCCGGAGAGACCGAGGTGCTCGCCGCACGGGGTAAACGTGCTGAATTCTGGGCACGGGTGGGAGATAAGGTGTGTTACTCAAGCTCCAGGGTCGTCATTACCATCTCCAAGTCACAAGGCTGATGCAAAAGCATTTAGGACAAAGCTATCGAGTCTCATGAAACCCTCCTCGAGAAAACGACATTCCTCGGTACCAAGATTGATTTGATGCTCGCTATGATCCGCATCGGCCTCTTCTTCGGAGATGCCTTGTCTGTTAAGAAGAACATCGAAAGAGCTAACACCCTCATTGAGAGCGGTGGTGACTGGGATCGGCGGAATCGTTTGAAGGCATACAAGGGTCTACACCTACTCACCATCCGTTCCTACAACGAAGCTGCGCCTCTTCTGCTTGACAGTCTGTCCACTTTCACCAGCTATGAACTCTGCAGTTACTCCGCTTTAGTCATTTACTCGGTCTTGGCTGGCTCTCATTCACTGAAACGAGTCGACTTCAAGGCTAAGGTTGTGGACGCACCCGAGATCAAGGCTATCCTTGGATCTGGTGAAGATCGATTGGCCGCTCTGACCGGTGAGACATCAGCCGGGCCCGGCGCTCAAGATGAAGAGATGAAGGACGCTACAGTTTCGCGGGTCACCCCGGGTACCGCCACGACCGCAGTCAACCTGACTGCCTTGGGCGGCGGCTCTGGTGTCCAAGCGGAGGCGGAAACCCCTGTCGACTTCACGCCTCTTGCTCACCTGGTTGACAGTCTTTACACCGGCAACTACCGATCCTTCTTCGTGTCTCTGGCGGCGGTGGAAGACAACTTCCTTACTCAGGATCGTTACCTCTACGAACACCGCGCCTGGTTTGTGAGGGAGATGAGACTGCGTGCATACCAACAGCTTCTTCAAAGCTATCGCGTTGTTGGGCTGAACAGCATGGCGAGCGACTTCGGTGTGACGGTAGACTTCTTGGATCGGTGAGTATCTTATCTATTGTGCTCGGGTAAACAGCGCTAACCCGCGATTGCAGGGATCTTGCCAAGTTCATCGCCAGCAACCGCATCGCATGCACCATTGACCGGGTCAATGATATCATTGAAACGAACCGACCGGATGACAAGAACAAGCAGTACGCGGATGTGGTCAAGCACGGTGATGCTCTGATCACGAAGCTGCAGAAGTACGGCCAGGCCGTGCGTTTGAGGGGTAGTGAACGCAGCTAAATCGTAGACATGGCCTTGTCGATCGCCATGTGGTTCATGATTATGTAGATGAGAGGTTCCAGTGATTTATCTATATCATCTCCTTTACCAACTTGACCAACTTGACCATCCAGCCATGTTAGAGCCAAAACAAGCGAGGCTGGTGTATCATAATTCTAATGACGCGAGAGAAAATGACCTCGAACATTAATCGGCAAACCGTTGTTGAGCGGCGGCCGGAGACAGTGGTGAGATTTTGCTCGTAGTTGTACAGTCAATAAATAGTCCATGTGGCTTTCAAAGGTCCACATGGTAGGTTGTAACTTGTAAGAGATGGCTTGTGGTACTAGTATCCACCATGACTGTGTCGGAAGACTGGGAGAATTGCCTATCCATCCACCCATCCATCTCTCTAAGCTCGAACAGGGACCAGAAGGGACCGGCCCTAATGTGTCCGGGGGCGGATCTGAGACAAGTTAACGAGATCACTTCTCGAAGGGAGAAATGGCAACTCGATTATGAGAGCATACAGTCAGTTCTCTTTCTGCCCTATCCTGTTCTTGTCTCGGGAAATTTGCCGACGGTCGGGAAGCTCCGGCGCAAGTGTGGGATGATGAGTTGCTATGGAATTAATTCTTGACCAGGGATTCGCTGTTGGTCGGTGGAACAAGAGGGAGCGAGGGTGCCCCTGATGTCACAAGCGTGACACTAATGTCTAGTACCTGGGGTATTGTATTTGTCCTCTTACACTTCTCCTCTTCCACCAAAAACCACCGGTAGATCAGACCTTTCAACCACCCTTCATCACATCTCAATGTTTTGGATTCCCTATCTGATTATTCCTATCAGAGAGTGGAGACCAAGAGAGCTGAGATAAGGCAGCTGACTCATCTCATCATGGAGTCCGAGACTCTCACCGCCCAGGGGGATTTCCCGCGTTTTTTTTCTTGCTTGGGGTCTTGAATCCCGAGTTACTGTTGTGATTCACAGTCAATCGTCAGTCAACGCAGTGCAGGCTATTGCATCCTCTTCTAGTCCTAGACTAGGCCCCCCAGACTCTTCTCTTTGGCCCCTTACGAGTCCACCCGAACGGTTGGTGGAGAGGTGCCTACACAGTCCCATTGGCTGAATTCGGCGTTGAATTGAGCAAATTGAGATCCGATCATGAGCTGGCAATTTAAACTTGCCTCGCACCTGCGGGCAACTCCGCTGCGATGCTCAGTTTCCCGGCCGAGTAGTGGTGCATGGCTGTCGTGCCATCTACAGGCCCCGCGCCTTTTCTCCTCGCGGGTAAGCCTAGCCGCGGGAATCCCCAGAGTCTCCCCGGGTGAGTCGATTTCTCTTGGTCTTCTATGTGCCCGTTATTGGTGGTTGTTGTATTGGCTTTCCGTTCGGGCCTTGAGTGGTTATGCCCGCGGTCCCTATTATTGGACATGTTCGGCGGTGACCACTGACAACCCTGCGCGATATACCGTACCTAACCCCTCACACGCCCTCCCATCCCTCCCCGATTGATCTTCGGGTCTTGTCAGTCGCCCACGTCTCGCGCATCCCGTGACATCTATGACTCGGTAGTGCATGTACTGGGGTTGTCTCTTCTCCCGGCCCGGATACAAATGGGTGACAGTTTCATCCCTGGCGGATGAATCCCTTTGTCACGATCTTGCCCAACTCTCAACCCATCATTGCTAATCACTCCCTACCTTACATTACAGACTCGACCATGCAGACTCAAACGACATTGGCGCATACCACCAGACGCACTCTGACCGCCGTCTCCTCCCGTCGTTTGACCTTGGACAACATTAACCCCCACGTCAAGGCTGCCAAATATGCCGTTCGCGGTGAGATTGCTACCAAGGCAGAGGAGTTCCGCGTGAGATTGGCTCAGGGGGATAAGTCATTGCCGTTCGACAGCGTTATCTTCGCCAACATCGGTAACCCGCAACAGCTGGACCAGAAGCCCATCACCTTCTTCCGTCAAGTCCTGAGTCTTCTTGAGAACCCCGTGTTGCTGGAAAACCCGGAAGTTCTCCGAACCAATTTTGGATACCCACAGGATGTTATTGACCGGGCCAAGGTCTTGCTCGCGGATGTTCAGAGCGTTGGTGCCTACAGTCACAGCCAAGGTGCACCGGTCATTCGGGACAGTGTGGCCAAGTTCATCGAGCAGCGTGATGGATTTCCTGCTAACCCCCAGGATCTCTACTTGACCGCTGGTGCTTCATCGGGTGTGAGCACGATCCTCAACATTATCTGTGATGGACCTGCCGCCGGAGTCCTTGTCCCCATCCCTCAATACCCTCTGTACACGGCGACTCTGTCTCTGCTGGATGCGCAGTGTGTTCCTTACCTCCTCGATGAGCAGAAGGCTTGGGGTACCGACGTGAATGCGATCAAGGAGAACCTGTCAAAGGCTAAGGCCGCTGGCACTGATGTTCGTGCTATCGTTGTTATCAACCCCGGTAACCCCACCGGCGCTTCTCTCAGTGCCGAAGACATCAAGAGCGTTCTCGACGTTGCAGCTGAGGAGAGACTAGTGGTCATTGCCGACGAGGTATACCAGACCAATGTTTTCACTGGCGAATTCATCTCCTTCAAGAAGAGACTCCGTCAGCTGCAGCAGGAGGTGCCCGGCAAGTACGACAACGTGGAGCTGGTCTCCCTGCACAGTGTCTCTAAGGGCATGGTTGGCGAGTGCGGTCATCGCGGTGGCTACTTTGAGCTCGTGGGTTTCGACCCCGAGGTCGCTGCCCAGATCTACAAGTATGTCAGCATCATGCTATGCCCGCCTGTTATTGGTCAGTGCCTGGTCGAGTTGATGGTGAACCCTCCCACGGAGGGAGAGCCTAGCTACGAGCTGTACCAGAAGGAATACAATGGCATCAAGGATGGACTGAGAAGCCGTGCTATGGCCCTCTACGAAGCCTTCCAGAAGATGGAGGGCGTCGAGTGTCAAGAACCCCAGGTAAGCCCCGGCCCATATTCCCGCAGATCACGAAACCCTTCTAACTTATCTATAGGGTGCCATGTACCTTTTCCCCACTATCAACCTCCCACCTAAGGCAATCGAGGCTGCCGCTGCAGAGAAGCGGGCTGCAGACGAGTTTTACTGCCTGCAGCTCCTTGATGCCACCGGTATCTGTGTGGTTCCAGGTTCCGGGTTCGGACAGAAGGAGAACACTCTGCACTTCCGCACGACATTCTTGGCTCCTGGAACGGACTGGGCCCAGCGGATTGTGAAGTTCCACTCCGAGTTCATGGCCAAGTATAAATAAGCCGATAAACACGCTATAACGATAATTAGACTATACCACATTTCTCTACTCGGAGGCTTTTAAATTGCACATACTGTTTGGAAAATTCTTCTGCCGTTCTCTTGTTGCTTCTAAGATCTTGTTTGCTACTATACGCACTTTTATTTTGCATTGTATGTCTGATTCGCTCTGATGGGCTGGTGTGTGCTTGCTGGTAGTCCCATAGACGGACGGCGGGTGATCTGTGTATTTCCCCTTTTGGTTATCATTCGATAGCCTCGGCTGATAAGCACGTGATCCACGATAACACAGCACAGCAACGAAGGCGGAAGGACCAGATGATGTCAAACATTTGATTTAGTCATCCTTCTTTCGGTGCCCCTCAACACACTGTCGCTTCCCCATTCGTGAAATGAATACCAGCAGATCGGGTTTGTGCACTTAGACAAATGTATTGAAAGGAAATAATTAGAACCTGCTCGTGTCTGAACATCCGCAAACATGGCAGACCAAAGCGACAGCCCTCTACAGGTAATTTTACCGCGGAGATGCATATCCATTCGTTAACTCCACGTCATTCGTTTGTGGTTACCGACAAATTTATAGCTAATGACTGACTGGTTGCTCAGGAGCTTGAAAAGGCATACTGCCCTCCCTTGGACCCAGCGCTACTCACGGCGGTTGCATCGGATTTTGATCTAATGGATCAAACACAAGTGGAACAACTTCGTGGGATACTAGACGCACTTAGACTGTCCGCTTGGGAACAGGAGGATCTGCCGTTTGATCCCTCTGGGACCAGCGGATTGAGTCCTGATAGTAACGGCTTTGACATGGATGGGGCGTGCCAGCGCTCGCCATCGCACACCGATACGATGCCCTCGCGCGAGACCGATCTTACCAGCTTGACTTCTGGCATGTCTGGTTTCAATCTTGACGACCCCAGCGCTAATGGGCGAAAGAATCATGTGTCGTATATTGTCCGCTCGGATGGAACGCTTTCGCTTCACGGCGCGACCGATGAGGACAAAATCGCCTATCTGTCGGAGATGTTCCGGTCCGCAGATCGCTTTACCATAAAGCACACACTACAGAAGGCTGGTGGTGATGTCGATCGCACCATGGACGAGCTATTAAACTATGTCTTCTTTGATGAGCAGATCCCTGATGAGGATGGCATCACAGTCGCAGTTCCAAAGGGCGTGGATGGGTTTCAGGGTGCCGAAGCCGTCAGAAAAAAAGGTCGCAGGCGTAAGCCGAAGGGAAAGGCCCTTGCACGGGACCAATACGCTCGGGCCTCGAATTGCGGCGAACCTCTGTCAACGAGTTCCACCACCTCAAATATATGGGCAACTGCGGAGAAGGAGGTCGAGTTCATATACTCGCTTACATCGGCGGTCCTCCCCAAGGAAAGGATCCGGTCGGCATACCATGCCAATGGGGCGTCGTTGCCAACCACGATACAGGCACTGGCGAAAACATATGCTCCTGGATCCAAGGATTGCCTCGAGACTGATGAGCTGCTGGCTGCCCAGGTGTCTGAACTAACACAACAGTTCCCTATGATTACATCTGATACATCTGCGGGACTACTCATCATTACACGGCAAATACCCTCTGCAGCCAAAGAGCTAGCTGATGTCATGCTGACTGTTCCTGAGACGTCACGGGCCCCTTTGTCTGAACTGATCAAGATCACATCAACCCTTCCTCCCTTGGATGACGAGGATGAAGTGGCTGAACCCCGAATCCCCGGACCGCGCTTCGCCCATAATTTGGAAAACGTGAAAAGTGCAGCACACGTTCATTATTCGGCGGGAGCGGAGGCATTTTCCAAGGCGTCAACGGCATATAGACGTGGAAAGTCTGATCGTTTGATGGGAGGGGCTGCTGCGTACTATTCCTCTGTTGGCCGAGACCATCTGGAATTGGCGAAGCGCAATGCCGCGGCTGCAGCGGACGCGCTCGTCGACCGACAGTCTACATCGAACAGGCTTGACCTCCACGGAGTGTCTGTGCAGGATGCCGTCCGCATCAGCCGCGAACGAGTCTCCGCTTGGTGGGAATCGTTGGGCGACACTAAGCTCATGGGAGGATCGAGTTATGAGAGGGCTCAGGGAGGCTTCCACATCGTCACCGGAAAGGGCCGTCACAGCCACGATGGCACATCCCGCCTAGGTCCGGCCGTTGGCAAGATGCTGGTTCGAGACGGATGGAGGGTGGAAGTAGGCGAGGGCTCTCTTACGGTCGTTGGAGTCATGAAACAACGTTGATAGATTCTTGTCTGGGGCTGCAATGTTTTGGTTCTTGCGAAGATACCCTGGGGTTGTTCATCTATTGGCGCTTGGATCTATCTACCGCACGGAAGGCGTTATGGGAGAAATTTCAGGTGTTTCAACTTAGAATCCGGGTTAGATGAAGATACAAGCTTGAGATAGAACATACAACAGTCTGACCATCGCCTGTATAATAAAATGCGATTATATAAGAGTACCATGATCGTTTTATGAGTATGTCATATTGATCGTTTACTCCACAGTGCGGATGACGTAAAAGCTGCGGCAACTTGGAGACGGCGGCGAACATCGGCTTAGAAGATCGATAAGATGGATTAGACCTCACATCTTCTTCTTCCACCTTCCCCAGACAATCGTTCTTGTTCTTGTTGAAAATTTAAACGACGAAGAACGAAGAAAGAAAAGAACAAAACATCCATCGACTCGCTTTCTCACTCCACCATCTCCTGATGCGATTCCAGCGCTTAGCCATATTTCTCCGCACCTTCAATCTACCCCTCCGCTCCCATCCTCCACCTTCATCTTCTTCCTCTTTCCGATTATTTCCCTTCCCCATCCCTAGCCCGCGAACCCTCCAAGCCGCCCCCGCAATCCCCTTCATCAGCTCCTTCTTCACAACCAGTAGCAAATCCGAAAACAGCGGCAGCATGTCCTACCCCGATCAGCGCAGTGATGACGCATGGCGCGCCGTCCTCAGCCCAGGTAATTATTCAACTGCCTGTCCCTTCCAGTGTCCCCAACCTAAACATTTCTCTCTTCTGCCCCTCCTCAAAACAATAATGACCTTTTTTTGCATCAAGAACAATTCCGCATCCTCCGCGAAAAGGGCACCGAACGACCCGGCACGGGCGAATACGACCAGCACTTCGCGGCGCAAGGGATCTACCACTGCGCGGGGTGCGATGCGCCCCTCTACAAGGCGACCCACAAGTTCAAGTCCGGGTGCGGATGGCCCGCGTACTTTGATTCCCTGCCGGGGGCCGTGACGAGACATACCGACAGTTCGTTTGGGATGCAGCGCACGGAGATCGTGTGTAGCAACTGCGGCGGGCATCTGGGCCATGTGTTCAAGGGCGAGGGGTATCCGACGCCCACGGATGAGAGGCATTGTGTGAACAGTGTGAGTTTGAGGTTCGCGGAGGATAAAGAGGGAAAATAACTACATCATCGTGGGAAGGTGTTGAAGGGGCGGGGTTGGGGGAGTTTTGGTGAGGGCTTTGGCTGTCTGGGGGCATTGGTTTGGGAATGTCTTAGGCGAGGATAAAGATTTTCTTTCTGGGATAATCTGACACTATTACAGTTGTATGATGATGATATTATTGCAATATGTCGCAATCATGTACAACCTGATTCGGCTTGTGTACTGTATAAACTAACGACTCGGAGGGGTTCCATCCACCCTTTACCAGGCTAGACTACCGGCTGCTCCGGCGAGACCACAGTAGTAGGACAATTCATCACCCCCGATGTGTTGACCCTCGGACTTGCAGTAGTAGAGCAGGCTTTGGTCATTCTCGAGTGTGCAGTCCGGGCACTGGTCCCATTGCTTGCTGCCGGTATTACGGTTCTTGTAATATGTGCAGGCCTTCTCTGTGGCGGCTTTGTTGAATACTTTCTATGGTTTGTTCATTCCGGGTCAGGAGATTCGGAAGTTTCTAGTTGGAGGAGATGGTGATGCTCGACTTACCACATCCTGGCCGGGAGAGTCGTAGCAAAGCCCCGTGTAGTGGAGGTCGGCCGCGGCTCTTGTCGGCAATTAGTAATGGAGTGTTGGGAAGGCTAAGAGGGAATTGGTTGGTCTTACCCTGTGGCCATGATAGCCACGATCAGAGTCATAAATTGCTTCATTGTTCCGTTGGTTGGTGCAAGTTGGTAAGAAGATAGCTTGAGTATGGAAGGCAGAGAGACTGATAGATATTAGGTGATTTCTGTGTTGCGCTCTGCCACTGTCGTATAGGAGAATAGGACGTGCTTCAATATATGGTTATTCTGTCGCCTGCTACAATCCTAGCAATCACTGAAGATCATCACAGTTCGCATCCAACGATCCTCTGCCATGGTCGAATTTTCCGATGTTCTTCCGCAGATTGAGTTGCGACCACTCGTTAGAGCACATCTCTCGATGTCGAGACTACTTGCCAAGGTCTTTCTATCTATCGACGATGATGATCACAATATCCTTGAAAATGTTCTGGTGACAGCTAATGGGGAGAGTCGGACTCGTTCTTCCTCGCTGATAGATCAAGTCTCACCTTCCTGCCGCCTAATCTGGGGCTGAGGACTCTGTATAAACATGGATCTCCTGTCTCAGCCTAAGTCCAAGCCGACGATCACTTGGCTGCAACATCGGACGAATAATTGCACCCGATACTTCCGGGACCGTTGAATTGGCGGAGAAACAAACTCATCTATTAAGGTTCCGCGAGTGGGCCCGGGAGCGGTTCATGTAGTCGAGCATTATGCAGTGTCTGATGGGATGCTCAATCTATCTCTCGCATCCGACGCCTGTCGATCCCTGATTTCCTTCGGCCCTTTTTCGGAGGATTGACCTCGTGCTGATCGTCCCCAGCGGCACTCCAATGGAGTCCTCAGCTGTTACTCTGATGGTCGGTAAGGACCATATTCTGTATGGCCCAGTGTATGGTTTCTATGAGATTTGGCAAACGTGATAGATACTACCTGTGTACACAATGCGTGCATATAAATACCTGCCAGTCTTCATTATTCAAAGACAGCTCATTCAAGATTGTACTGTCTGTCCCTTTCATGGTTTTTTCCCCTTTTGCATGTTACTCCAATCAATCATGAAGGTTCTTCCTCTCTTCCCACTTTTCTCTGCAACGCTATGTCTTGCAACGGCCATTCCCTCCCAGCCAGCTGTCTGTGGCCCCGACGAGGCGGTCATATTCTTGAGCAATGGCACCACAACAACCGTCAAGAAGGCTGAGTTGGCCTCGCACCTGCAAGGCCTGACCTTCCTTTCCCCGGAGGCAACCGATAGCGCCTTTCCACGGCTGATCAAATCCAAGGCATCCCCATCCGACATCACGAAGCGCGGATCAGGCACGGAGCTCATCATCCCGCTCCCTGATCTCGACTTCCTCGGATGGGATGTGGCCATGTCGACCATCGTGCACGCCAACCAGGCCGCCGCCACGGTGGCCATCCAGGCTGGTCAGTCGATCGCCAATAGCATCACCACAGGCACGTCGGCCGACTTCACTCTCGTCAAGGACTTCCTGTCTGCGTCCACCAGCATCAGCTACCAGGAGACAACAACCAGCACGGTGACTGGCACGGTCACCATGACCATCCCAGCCAACAAGTGGGGAGCGATCGTGAGCAACCCTTTGACCCATCGAAAAAGAGGCTATGTCTTCACTGGCCAGCCGGGGAGCGGGCAATTCGAGTATTACCAGGCCGATTCCTTCAACGACGCGAGCTTCAACCTTGAGGGAGGGACGCTGTCTTGGGTTAAGGGAGTGGTGACGACTTGCCTGGGTGAGACTTATCCGTTGGCGCGATGCGTGGGTGATGGTAGTCTGGAGTGATTGTTTACTGCTCTCGAGTTCCAGAATTTGGGTAGGTTAGAGTCTGTGAGACAGTGTTATTCTGTCCCGCTAGTTAACAGCTTTCAGTCTAGAGGGCTGGTCAGGGCGCTGGCATGGGGTTCATGGAAATCGGAACTTTATCGACTGTACAAGTAGCCCTTGTCAGAAAGGGCTCTGATGTTTTCTGCGAAGTCAACATAATAGCTTCTGTATACTACTGCTCTTCCCTGGTTTTCTTCGTTTTTTTCCAGCTTGCATAATCTCTCAGTGATGTGCTGCGACACTGTCGTAGATATCCTATTCAACGGATGATGCACTGCACCGTACCTAAACTCAATGCGCTTCCCAACTTGGGGAATACGTAGCCATTGAAGGTCTAAAAGTATGCTACCATGAGCTTATAAGAATGATATAGCCCCTTTTGGTCTTAGTAGCAGGATACAGCGGCTCGTAGGATTGTGCACTCTTAGAAACCTACAAGCCCAGGGTTGAAGCACGGTCACTGTAGCTATGTCATGTGATCTCGGACATACCGAGAGCTGATCTGGCACGTGCGACGGACCAGATTGGGTACTCACCGCCTTTATGCCTCAGGCCGACGCCCACCGCATCCCGCCACTTGTTGCCGATTGACGTCCGTGATTCAACTCCCCTTTGAACTCCTTTATTGAGTCCTGTTACTTAACCCCGGCCTCTTGATTGATATCGCGACCTCCGCTGTGATGTCTCGACGCGCCACGCCGTCTCAGGCTGCTCAAAATCAACAGGTTATCAAGAGCCTGCTGAAACTCGAACAAAACAAGACATGTGCTGATTGCAAGCGCAACAAGCGTATGTGACCACCTTCCAGAACTTTTGGGGTCACCGGCCCTTTTCTTCTTTCACCCCGCACTGTGCACTCAATGCAAGGAAATTCGGAAGTCCGGAAAGGCTAACATACCTTGCCTATAGACCCGCGCTGGGCATCATGGAATCTGGGTATTTTCATCTGTATCCGTTGCTCGGGAATTCACCGGGGCATGGGCACGCATATCAGTCGGGTCAAGTCCGTAGATCTTGATTCATGGACGGATGAACAACTTCAGAGTGTTGTGAAATGGGGTAACGCTAGGGCAAACAAGTATGTGTTCCCGCTTTTTCTGGGATCGCATTGACTTACAGATGGCTAATTGTCACCGACAGATATTGGGAAGCCAAGTTGGCGCCCGGCCACGTCCCCTCGGAAGCGTAAGCGAAACCCCTCCATCGCTTGCGGAGATATTGTGTCTGACAAACACCACGACAACAGGAAGATTGAGAACTTCATCAGAACCAAGTATGAGTCGAAGAGATGGGTTATGGATGGTCCAATGCCCGATCCCTCGACCCTAAGTGATGGTGATGACGACGTGGTAAGGGACTAGGAGAGTACCCCAGGGATTGGATTGATAACTGACTTCGGTGTCCACCAGCCCCTCGCAGTTGTCCAGGAGAAGGCCAAACTTGAGCGCTCCGCATCCCAGCGAGTGGCGACGGCCAGTCAACCTGCCGTCCATCATCGTCCTCAAGCTTCCGTCGACCTCTTCGGTGACGATATCTCTCCTCCCGCGCGCCCCAGTACAACGGATTCTGCAACTAGAGCGGCTCCCAAGCAGCCCCAGTCTGCGCCCCCTGCTAAGCCTGCTGCCCGTCCTGGAGATTCGTTGTTGGGACTCGACTTTTTCGGCAGCACACAGCCTGCGCCAGCCAGCCGTCCGGCCAGCACTGCATCCACCCCTACTGGTTCAACCGGAATGTCTCGCCCGGACCTGAAGCAATCTATCCTGTCTCTTTATTCGAAGCCAACGCCTGCTCCGATGCAGCATGAACGCACGTCCTCCTTTGGAGATCTGACTTCCCCGCCGCCCCAGTCGGCGTCATCATCCAACTTCGGTGGCTTGACCGATGCTTTCAGCGGGCTGAGCATCCCCTCCACCACTTCTCCCCCGCCTGTCAAACCGGCTGAGAAGCCTTCGCCATTCGCCAATCTTGCAAACTTCGCCAGCATGAAGTCTACCCCAGCGGCTCCAAAGGTCTCTTCACCTACTCTCTCCGTCGGTACTGGGGGAGGCGGCAGTTTGTTCGACAGCCTTACTTCTCCTACTCTGCCACCAGCGAAGCCCCAGTCCCGGAATGCGTCTTTCTCTTCGAATGGCTTTGATTCCGGATTTACTAGCTTCGCTTCCGCGGCTCCGTCTAAGCCCAACCCACCGTCGTCCTCATTCTCAAATGATTTGCTCGGCTTCTCTTCCCCTCCAGCAAAGGCCGCTGCACCCCCGCCTCCAGTGTCTGCTCCCAATTCACAGAACGAATTAAAATCTGCGTTCAACCTTACTCCCGCCCCTGCGCCTGTCCCAGCACCGAAACCGGCCTTCTCGCCCCCAACGGCCTCCGTTGCTAGTGCGCTTCCGCCGTCCAGCATTGACCCGTGGGGAGGCAATGCCTGGAGTACGCCTGCTCCTGCTCCGGCACAATCTGCTGCATCTTCAATGATGAAGATCCCGGACACCCTAACCGCCAATGATCTTGGTGGTGGCTGGGGAGCGCCGACGTCGCCGGCTGCGGTTTCTAAGCCAACCCCAACAGTCGCAGCTGACGAGGACTTCGGTGGTTGGACCAGTGCGGCACCAATTTCTTCGACTACCGTTACCTCTAATAACACATCTAATGCGTCCAACTCCTCCAAACCGGCTGGCGGGTTTGGCGGGGCTGATGATCTGTTCTCCAACGTTTGGGAGTAGGCTTCTTCCTTCGACTTTGCATTCGTCAACTTTGCACATACCTAGTTTCAACAAATCCAGATTAGACATGAACATTAACTCCAGATGTTATCCTACATTTATCCGAACTTCACTTCTCTTAAGATCTGCTTTGCTTGCTTCCGCGCCCTTCTCTTTTGGGGCCTTAATTAGTCATGATTCAGTATGAATGATCCTCTAAGAAAAGAGTGTTGGGTGGTCTTAGGAATTCGCGCTTGGCGTCATGGCATGTACTGTACAAACAAAAGAACTAGTGCTTCAACGATTTCAGCAATGATTTTCTTGCATGTAGTCTAGATTTGAGCGTATCTGTTTTGGACCATTTGCGAATAAGCCTTCCTCCAAGGAGATTCGACGAACCCGCAGTGAGGGCTGACGGTCTCGAGACAGTTCACTCAGGCGTACCATTATGGAGCCTGGTGTAGTTCTGTGAGAATCCGTGGCTTATCTGAAAACAGTCTAACCATAAGGACGCTAGTCGGCTGAGGTTTTGAAGTATATAAGCCATATTCCTATGCTTCCATAAGACGTGCTCTTAGCCCACATCTCCTCTTCTACTAATACTACATAAAGAGATCCAAGTCACGCAAGAAACATATCTTCAAGTCCCCATTATCGCCATGACATTGACCGTTTATCTGATCACAGGAGCAAGTCGAGGTATTTTTACAAGCAAGAGCCACGACTCCCCTTGCCCCCGCTTAGAGCTGGGGTTGGGGTACTGCACCTCGACGCACACACTCCTCTGTATGTATACTGACCATGGTGCAACCGGCAATAACACAGGAATCGGCCACGGCCTTGCCAGGATCCTCGTCTCACGCCCCAATTGCACCGTTATCGCCGCCGTGCGCGATCCCTCCGCCGCTGCAGCGCACACTCTCCTCGCCCTCCCCGCCGGCGAAGGATCCCGCCTCATCCTAGTCAAGATCGACGCTCAATCGGACACCGACGCCCACGAAGCCGTCCGATACCTCCAGGAGGCGGAGAACATCCACCACCTCGACGTTGTGGTTGCCAATGCGGGCTACTACGATGATGATTACCGGCTGGAAGACGTCCCGCTGTCCAAAGTCCAGCGCCACCTGGACGTCAACACCGTCGGCATACTTCGTCTCTTTCAGGCGGTTTTCAAGCCCCTGAGCAAGAGCTCCCAGCAGCAGCAGCAGCAGCCGAAGTTCGTGACTATTAGCAGTTTCATGGGCAGCATTGCCGGACTGGATGAGGAGTACTTCCCCGGTGGGGGGTACGGCGCCAGTAAGGCGGCGGCGAATTGGATCACGAGGAAGATTCATGTGGAGAATCCGGGCTTCGTGAGCTTTATGATCCATCCGGGGTGAGTTGGGGATAGTACTATGTTTTGATACGAGGGGGTGGTGTTGGTGATGGTAATGATGTATTGTGTTGCTTTATTGACTTGGTTGTGTGCAGATTCGTCAAGACCGCTATGGGCAATGCCGCCGCCAGGAGTATTGGACTGGACTCTGCGTTTAGTGAGGTCGATGAATGTGCGGACGGGATAGTCAAGCTGGTTTGTGGTCAATCGCTTCTTATCTGCCATGGCAAGGCTAACATGCAATCTACTTAGATCGATGGCGCAACAAGAGAGTCTGTTGGTGGTCGTTTTGTTACTGTCAAGGGCCAGGAGATGGCTTTCTAATAGCCATTAGTGGGTTATGGAGGGTGATTCCTCTAAGCTGGTTGTCGGATTGCGGATTGTAGATTGTGCTTAATCTATGTCGGATCAGAAATAGACAAATTCAGATGAGGACCATGTACGGAGTAGAAAAGGGACTACGGTATAGTTACAGGATCTAAGACTTTGTGCCTGAGGCCAGAAGGCTTGCACTGGATAAGTAACCTTTTCTACAGAACTTTACTACAATCAATTTACCTCTGAGATTTCGATATTCGAACACTGGCCACTCTAGAAGCAGCAATAACAAAAACTTCAAATGAACGAGAATTGCTCATCCAAATACCCAGTAACTGTCATCAAGTAGCGAACTATGGGCTGATTGACTCGCGACAAATCCTTCGTATCTGATTGGACGGTGCCTCTCGGCCGCTCCGCCTCCGCCTTCCGAAGATCTTTTGATCGGCCGCCAACTTTCATCAACACCGCGACTCAATCCATATCAGGTCCCAATTGTTCCTGGCACCCGTCACCATGGCGTTCCTGGGGCCTTCCGCACCTTTGCTGCGGAGTTTTGCCCCCCGATTGTCAAAGGAATTCTTCACCTGCCGCCCATGCCTCATTAGGACTCAGAGTTATGCATCCACTTCCGCTTTGCGCAAGCAGTTCTTTGCGCCGGACAATGCTCGCAATGCACTCGATACCATCTCTCTGCGCGCCAGAGCCAAGGGTGCTTTCGCCTCTAGTCTGAGAAACTATGCCTCCAAGTCCTCCAAGTCTTCCAAGTCTGCCAAATCTTCCAAGCCTGCCAGTTCCTCGAAGCCCGCCCAGCCCGCCCAGGCTCAGTCTGCTGCCTCTGCCGCCGCTCCCGAGCAAGCACCGAAACGGTTCTTTCCTATCCTCACTCACAAGGTGGTAGCCTACTGGCTGTTGGCTAGTGCTGCCAGCGTCTTTGGTATTGTTGTATTCGGAGGCCTTACTAGATTAACGGAATCAGGGTATGTGTCTTCTCAATGATTGATCGCGGAGGCTTATACTGACTTGGTGTATAGTTTGAGTATCACAGAATGGCGCCCCGTCACCGGATCGATCCCTCCTATGAATGACGAAGACTGGGAATCCGAATTCGCCAAGTACCGTGCCTCCCCCGAATTCCAGCTTCTGAACCCGAACATGACGCTCTCCGAATTCAAGTCAATCTACTACATGGAATGGATTCACCGTCTCTGGGGCCGCTTTGTTGGTCTCTCGTTCGTGCTCCCGGCTATCTACTTCGTCGCTAGAAGGAAGGTCAGCAAGCCCATGGCTCTGCGCCTTGCTGGGATCGCAGGCTTGATCGGTTTCCAAGGATTTCTGGGTTGGTGGATGGTTGCGTCTGGACTCAAGGAAGACCTCTTCGCCCCCGGCAGCCACCCTCGCGTCAGCCAGTACCGTCTCACCGCGCATCTTGGCGCCGCCTTCGTCTGCTACACTGCTATGCTCTGGAATGGTCTTGCTATCCTGCGCTCTCAACGCCTCGCCTCCGATGTGAATAAGGGTCTGAAGCAACTCAAGAAACTCCATTCCAAGCACCTGACGGTTTTCCGTCGCTCTGTGGCCGGTGTGGCTCTCCTGGTCTTCGTTACCGCCATGTCTGGTGCCCTTGTCGCCGGTCTCGACGCCGGTCTCATTTACAATGAGTTCCCCTACATGGGCAATGGACTTACCCCTCCCAAGGAGGAACTCTTGGATGCCCGTTATTCCCAGCGTGAGGATCGCTCGGATCTCTGGTGGCGCAACATGCTGGAGAACCCCTCCTTGGTCCAGCTCGACCACCGCATCCTGGCAATGACTACCTTCACCAGCATTATGGCCCTGTGGGCTTACAGCAAGGTCCCTAGGGTGAACCGCGTGATGGGCCGCTCGGCCCGCAGAGGCGTTCACGGCGTGGTCGCTTTCGCCTTCTGCCAGGTCGGTCTGGGTATCTCGACCCTGCTTTATCTGGTTCCCACACCCTTGGCCTCCGCTCACCAGGCGGGAAGTCTCCTCTTACTCACTTGGGTATTGGTCCTGGGCAGCCGTGTTTGGCGCCCAACCCGGACATTTAAGCTACTCCAGCTGAGACAGCAGTTTGCGGCTGCCAAGAAGGCTGCCAAGAAGGCCTGAATCCTGTCTCTGTCAAATCCCTGAGAATAGGGATTGCGGGCATCGTTGACGAAAGAAATGCATGTGTATGGCCCCGCCACAGTACCGCCTGAAGTGGCTCCTCGATTTCTCTTGTGTTGTACTTATAACCCATCGTCCTCTCTACTTTTCGGAGCTTGTTTTTCTTTTTGTACAATAACATTGCATTTTCAGTGCTATCTTGCGCATTATTACTAGATCCTGTAGCGATAAGAAGCTTTGCAGGATGAACCTGAGAACCTAACGTACGCAGCTAAAAACCCCCATAATATCTCGTCCCACATCAGCCGCTTTACCATCGCCGAGCCGTTCCATCTCCGATCAAAAGCAACACCCTTGCCAACAAGAAACTTTCTAAGATTCAGCTCTAGTATCGAAAAATTAGATCTAGCATGCTCGGCCACGGCTGCTTCTCCAATCTATAGGTGACGTTGAGGGGAAAGACGTGTGTCTGCTTGAGAACCATAAGCAAGCATCCGTGCCGGAGAATCCCAACGAGGGGATGGGATCACTTACGCTTAGCGACTGGAACCAGGAAAGTGGCTGAGACGCCCAGCAGTGCGGGCTGCCACAGTACCTTCCGCTTCGACCTGCAGAGCATCGTGCTTCGCGAGTTCCTGATGCTGGTTCGGATTCATACTCCTGAGAATTTCCAACGCACGGCCCTGCTTGTACTCCTCAACTTCCTGCTCGGCCAATGCGCTCGCGTCTTCGATAATGCAACCTTTATCTGGAATACCTCCGGCTGCGAGATGTATACCTTGTTAGATATCGAGTACCGGACTGCGAGTATCATCATGTTCGGGGGGCATACCTCGCTCTACTGCTTCTATCGCTGTCGCCGCGGTTGAGAAGGCAAGAAGCTCCTCCGCATCCTTCAGCTCCTGATCATTGTAATCGGGTCTACCAGGTGGAGTGGCTGGGAGGTGAACACGATCTGCGTTGTGGGTGAAGGCGTCATCGATGCCAGCCGGTGGACCCCAAATGAGCTCGTGGCTGTAGCGAGGATGCGCTGCACTGACAAATTGCTGGCCCTGCTTGGGTTTGGGAAATGTGCGAATAGGCTGCAGTTCGCCTTGAGCGATGGGCTCGCGGTGGTTGTAGTTCCTGCCAGCGGGGATGTTCGCCGTACCTTCTGCTTCCGGCACTGCCCCGAAGTCTCGCACTATCACCTCCCCATCGACGAACGACTTATAGCTACCAGCGCTTGCCTCCACGTTGTACCTTGCTTCGGTGGCTGTTCCCACTGAATCCAAACCGCGGTTGTTCCTCGCATTCACACTCGCCCTTGCACCACTACCACCACCACCCACCTTTTTCGTTTTCTTCTTTCTCTTTGTTCTGCCTGTCGACCTACTGGCTTCCGTGCTGCTCTGTAATAGTTCCTCCCGCGTGATCGGCGCCACATGCACTACGTTCCCGGCAATGTGAGATCGGCGAAGTCCATTGCGGATGGTGCAATTGTGACAGCACTGCCACTTGCACACCGTACATCTGCTCATGCCAGATGTGTTGCGGCCATCGCACACATCGCACTTTGCCGTCCGAGCAGGTTGATCATCGAACACGGTCACGACCTCACTGCCGGGAGGGGACGGGGACGGGGACAGACCCCGGTGGCCCATCCCGTTGTCTTGCGGGTACCCTCCGGCAAACGACGAGTAGTTGCGGACGGGCCGAGGCTGCCAATCTGGGGAGAGGTGGGAGGATTGTACTGTGGATCTGCGGGGTTGCCTCTCCCGGAACTCCTCTAATATGTCATAAGCTTGTCCGCGGGGTTCTTCGGCTACATGGGGAAGAGGAATACCTGGTTGGGGTGCTGCATACACCGGAGGAGGCACTGGAAAGAGAAAATCGGCTTCTGTGCTTAGGGCTCGCTGATCACCATCGGGGTCGGTCACCACGATGACAGGAGCAGCCGGTGCGGCCGTCAGCCTCGACCCTTCCGCAGTGGAAGCCGGAGGCTGCTGTAGGAGGGGATGGGCGGAATGTGCAGCCACTGGAGCAGCTCTGGGTGGATGATATGAGCCGTAAGGAGGTGGAAGAAGTCGCGTGGTTCTAGCGGGCTGTCCATGTGGAGAACGGTTGATTGCAAATGCTTCCACACTGGCTTCATCCAACGTCTGATATGAGAGAACCGTAAGTCATTCATCTTCTCATAAAGAATGGCACTGAGCAAAATGAGATGAAGGGATGCACTGACCAATGGCCTTGGTCTGTTGGAAGATCTTTGGACAACGCCTGGACCTGAATCGGCTGCCTCACGATTGCTGAGGACTTGGTGAACTGATGGCAGACAATCGACCACTTCTTCCAGCTCAATGCCTTCGAGAATCTGCGGGACAGTGGGCAGTGGCCGTCCCGATGGTCTGCGTCTGGCTCTGTTCTCTGATTCAAGCATTGTCAGCATAATTCGTCTCCGAAACTCAGTTTGGCTCCCTCCCGACTCAGGATATCAAGCTGCAATATCAGATTCCTCCTCGGTCAACCTGTTCGACTAAGAACCATTCTTTATCATACAGATATCTCTTGTTGTTGCCGCAGTTTCAGATGAAAAGAGAACCCAACGGTCCCAAGAACATAATCACACGCATATAAAGCCAGCCTCAAAGCTGAGAGAACATAAAGATCTCCAAAGAAGATTGGCTTATGCATAAAGCCCCTATAAGACAACTTCCTTGGTTATGAAAGATATACTTACCGCGGTTAAACATGATGAACTTTACCTGTGTGACCGCTCACACTGCTCATCACCCGGTATCTCTATCTGAGAGTCTTGATTTCAGGACGTGAGCCCGAATGAACTGTACTGATGGCAATTGTCGTGAGCACAGCTTCCTTGTTCCGTAAACGAGGAAAGCGTGCCAACTGTTACAGCCGTGTGAAGTCTGGGATCAAGCTCAAAGAACTGGAAGGAGAGAATTTGCAGACAGGGAGAAAGATGAAGAACAACAGGAAGAGGGGAGAAGAAAGAAAAAAGGAGAAACAAACACGTTCACCAGACATCATGCCTGCGACGGTCACGACGCAAGATACGGACGATCTGCAGGGCACCGCTGCGTTCTATACGCAGGCACGACAATACGCACTAGTGCGATAATACGATCTGCCTTGCCACTAGGGCGATGGTGAATGTTATAGCCATTATAACACGGTCATGGCTCGTCCTACTCTGCTGTCTGTGTATGCAGCCTTGTGCGCTTCTGGGTTGGGTGTATGCTTCCCTGGTGACTTTGTCAGCTCTACGGGTATGGGAGGGTGAGTGAAGGTGAGGGGGGTATAGCAAGCTTTGTCATTGCCTAGGACTTTATACTGGAAACACTCTCGTATATACAAAGAGGATTGCTTTTAGGTACTGGAACAGAGAATGTTGGTCGGGTTGTTCTGCTAGTTGGAATGAAGCTTTGGCTAATATTTTAGCTCTTACAGAAGTATCAATGACGAGTAGAGGAGCTGGCTATAAGATGCATGGCAAAAGCTATCTGCGCGTCTGGTACACCTATCTTTGACCAAGGTCTCGGACTATTTCACGACGGACGCGTTGTATCGAACTCGAGGCTTCAGCAATGTTAGAAAGATAAAACTCACCTAGGGCGATGCTTCTCACAGCAGGATTCAGTATTTCTTTAGTCCAGAGTATGTATGATTTTGTGAAGTTGGAAATATGTAGTCTATGTGGTATCCACGCTATACGCGACCGATCATTCGTAATGGCTACCTCCATCGACATCTCGACTCCATATTTACAGGTTCCCCCGGAGAACTACGACCTCAAATCTCGTCAACCATGACCTATGTGCAGTTTGCTGTCCAGACGGCAATGATGTCCTTCAGCCAGCCCACGAGACTCTTTACGTCAGCCTGTTTGCATGCCAGCCTGCAGCTAGCCAGTCCAGCATAACTCATCACGAAAACAGAAGCAGTAGTCATCCGTCACATTGCCGTAACCCTCCATCTTTCTCCTCCCCAGCGGAGAAGGGGCGAGAAGGACAAATGCTTCCAGCCCACGGACAAGCCAGCAGCTCGGGACGAAGACGGGGGGTGGAGGCGATCAAGCGCCCAGAGCGAAGAAGTGTGTCTCATTGCAGGGCCTCCTTTACTTCTCTATCTCACCCGCTCTTAGCAGAATGAGCCTCAGGCCCGAACAACCTAAGTCTTCTTGGACGAACCGCCAGGCGTGGTGCCACCACGACGCTTATACTTGCGTGGATCTGTGTTTCGCACAGCGTTAGCGGAGAATCTCACAAGAGGGGCATATGAAATCCGAGGAATCGAAGAGGGAGATCGCGCAACGTACCTTTCCTACTCATCAGGGTCTTATTCCGGGTGCCTTTCCCGCCTTCCCAGAAGCCACTTCCGGCTTTACCGATCAGGACGGCGCGGCAGATCCCACAGTTCTCGGGGCGGTAGATTTGTTCCCGGGAACAGAAGCCACTGTATCATATGACAAATCAGTTTCGAGGTTTTTATCGTGCGGACACCCTGAGTCGATGGTTGCTTACCAGATCATGCGGTTTGCATGTTCATTGGGGTGGTCAGTGGCCGCATCGTGGCATCTGTGGAATCGATTAGTATGTGTATGGGATGGCGGGGTGGGTTTGAGGGTTGTGGTCATACTTGTCGCACGGAAAGACCTTGGCGCAGCAGCTGAATCTGTAGGGCGGAGGATGTTAGCATAGGTAAACTATTTCGTTTCTTTGTGTGGGCTCTAAGCGATGGCGTACCTGAACCAGCGATAGCTTTTCCCGTAATGCGAGCACCGGCCGCGACGGGGCAGTTCTTGGCCGGCGACGATGCCGAGGACCTCCTTGGGCTGATATCATATCAGTATGCGCTTGATCGCGAGTAGATCTGGATTGTGAATCATACCTTCTTTCGGGGAGGGGGACGATCACGAGAAGAGACTGTATTGAACGCGTAAGGGGTTGATCCTAGATGCGAGACTTGGAATACTTACATGCTGCAGACCCGACTTTGAGGAACTTCACCTCCGGGACCTTGAGAACTGGTGCAGATAAGTATAATGAATGATCAATGGCCTTGGCAAGAATAGACGTACCCATTTTGCGATGGCACTGGCGGCAGTTAGCCATTGCGCTTTCGCCACGAACCGCCACAATTCCAGGGCTCGGAAATGGCGTCGAGCATTCCGCACACGTGGGTATAAAGCTACTGCAGCGGTTGTTAGTGCACAATCTACTATAACAGAGGCCATGACAGAGGGAGCACTCCGTTCAAAGCAGAGTATCTGCTTACCTAGGGAGAAGATCGACTACAGTGCATCCATCCAAGTCCAGATAGCCAGCTCGAGTCGCGGTGGGATGCATCAATTGACGACGGAATCCTACAGATCAAAATGAGAATGCTTGGAGCTAAGGCGTTGAGTACTGGAGCGGATCGTCTTACCCATGCTCATCGTGTTCGCACACTTCTTGCATGTCTCCACTTTGAGAGACAGCTCGTCATTTTTGTCTTTGATCTGAGGAATATTTCTCACATCCATCGTCTCCTTGCATCGATCGCATTTAATTGAGATATAAAGACCGACGAGCTCCAGAAGCTCAATCCCGTAGAGTTCCAGGAATGGGAAGGAGAGAGCAACGCCGCGTTCAACATTGGTAGGCTCGGGAAGATCGGGAACAGGAGCGCCTCCATCTTCGTCGTCTTCCGTGGGTTCCTCGTCAGACTCGGTGAAATCCGTCTCCTCAGAAGCACTACTGTCACCACCCACGTTCCATTCCGGAGGTCGGGGCACAACATGGACATGGGGTTTGTCCGTCGCCACGGATTCTGGAACCGGCGGACCTGTTGCAGCTGCCTCTAATGGCTTAGAATCTGAAATCTCGGATATTGCAACTGGAGCGGGAGCGCTTTCCACTGGCGTCTTGGAAAAATTAAGCATATTGCTGGTGAGATAATTGACCTGCGACATCAGATTCAGGTTTAAGTTGTTTTGAACCCACTTGCCGAAGCCTGCTTCGACAGCTCGAGCCTCTGGGCCTTCCATACTGTTCAGTTCAATCGCGCTGGGCTCAAGCGGGTACAATAGAGGCACCTGCAATTTGACAGCCTTCACAGACCGGAGGGGCACAGGTAGCCGATCGATTTTGGCCGGTTGAATAGGGATGAGAAAAGAGAGACCGTCACTGAGCTTCTGGAAAGAGGACAATCTACCCAGTCGAGCCTCTAATTGTTTCGTCTCCGCTGCTCGTCGCTTTTCCGCCTGGGCCTTCTCAGCCGCGGTGTAAGTCGGAAGCGGGGCAGGTTTGGGGGTCGACAGCACTTGGGTCCGAGGCTGAGAGGTTGACGAAGACACAGCGAGCGACTCCATATCTCGTGACAGCTTCTGGACCACCGCTGACTGTGGTTTGCTTGCTGTTGTGTTGGGCACAAACTTGAGCGTAGGTCCCCGGTCCAAAGTCGTCAGCAAGCGCTCCAGATGTCGGTCTAGAGTGTTCATGTAGCTGAGCAGCGTCCCACGGCTGCCGCTTCTGACGGTGCTGTCGACAATGTCATCGAAGCCTCTAGCAACATTCTCTTGGAATGCGCTTCCCATTTCGGGATTGGCGACTCTGATCGTGGGACGTCCTTGAGTCGGGTAAGTTCGAGGGACGTGTAGAATGCACTGTAGCTTATCCATTTCGAAGGGGAAGTCGGGATCAGAGGGGGTAAGCCCGAAAATCGCCGTGGTTCCGGCGTCATCACTGCTTTCCTGTGGGCGAAAGCGACGCCGTAACTGATTAAGCTGGAATTCTCTGGGATTCGATGCTTCTGCTTTTGAGATGGGTCGGTGGGGTGAGCCAGAGGTGGCAGTGCCAGAGCTCCCGGACTGCGTGGTGCTCATGGTTGCTCTTCGATATAGACAGATCTTGATCAAATGCCCGGGACAATCTGAGTCTTGGATGGCAAATAGATGTGCTAGAAGTATGTACAATGACCAAGTGTATACAGAATGTGATGTAGATATAAGTTATGGCCAGGGCGGCGATCAAGCTCCGCCGAAGCTAGTCTCGAATGGGACGGGCACAGCGTCATCATCATGATTACTACTGATTACTCATTCTGATCACCTCCATGACTCACCTGCTTGCCACAGTGTGAGTGCAGTGAATCTCGAGCAGGTGTCTGAGTGTCTGTCTCACTCGACAAGCTAGTCTTGCAGTACCCAGCCCTTTCTTTGGCATAAGTTTTGTGTACTCAATAATAAGGTAGTTAATCAGTGTGGTGCGTTAATGCTGGTTGCTGCCTCAGGCATTAATTTTGGCCAGAACCCCGCTCTGGTGGGTCGACCAATGGCAGGGAGGCGTATTCAATACGATTGACTTGCTTCGAGAATGGCCCAAACGGGCAAGTGTGGAGATTTCCAGTGCATCCACCGAGTCCAGGCAGTTCCCCTCAAAGCACTCTTTTTGCTCCTTGCCTGAGGTTCAAGCATGGTTCGATGTTTTACAGCATTATTATTATTGTTCCAGTTCACAGTCCAAGTGGTCTGACTCGGCTCTGGGTCCATGTTCATGCCGAGCTCTTTTTTCCCTGACTGACCAGTGAATGGTCGGTCAATCAATATCCAGGGGCTCTGCTGGTCCTGGTGCCTGGCAGTCCTGGCTAATAAGATAACACGGAGAGCTCTGCGCAGTGGGTAATCTGGAGACGCTGGAAATCTGCCTGGCCTTTCTTTCCTCTCTTATCTCCATTTCTCCAGTTCACTCTTTCT